GACCTTGAATAAAAACATGGTAGTATTCAAGACGCTGCAGAAAAAAAACTATAGCAGATAGAAGGGTGCTGTCGCTGAGTTTTTTATAGCAAAAAACTTCAGCTACAACATTCATTTGAAACTTTTTGCTATTGGACCATCCCTTTGTGCAGCGTTCTCCATAAACCGCAAATTACCCCTAAAAACCACCCCTAACTAAAAACCCTATGGAAGTACAAGGTCGCAAACTTAATATGTTATTAAGCACATAAAAATGAACCAATCCCCCCCCCCAAAATGTTAACTTCCAATTATGTTGAGGTAAACTTCCTTCATTGCTTGGCCTAGTAGGCCTATTCCACAATTCAAACACGTTCGCTGCTACCTATTAAAGCTGAAACTTGACCCGGTGGCTGGTGTGACTGTCCTGTAACTCGGAAACTATTCGCCTGATCAAAAAAGTTTAAATAGCTATTTTGTAGGAAATTTGATTCTCTTAAACTTCCTCTTGAAACTTTTTTCCCTTAAACTTATAGGAACCAACTTATAAAGCAAAAACTGATTTTGACTGCCATTTTTCCAAGATGGCGAAGCAAGCGGCGGTCGCATGAGGTCGCAAACCTAAGTACATGCTAAGGACCTATAAGTCTACCTTCCTGCCAAGCTTCAAAACTCCGCGACCTTTTGCATGCTCAAATGTACGTAATGACTGGCCTATATATTCCGATTCTAATCTTACTTTAGCTTGGATAAAATCCAATCCTAATAAAGGTAAACCCGTATGTTGCTAATCGAATATTAAAAATTCAAAATTTAACTAACAACGTTTTTTGGCTATACAATAAAACTAAAGAGAACCCTGCGGATATTCTTTCAAGAGGCTTAGATCTGTCGCAAATGATTGACAATGATCTTTGGTATTATGGACCAAAAATTTTATCTAATTTAGATTTTTTACACATAAATCAAGCTTTCAATATTCCAGATTCATTACTGGAAGCAAAGAAACTTTTTGTTCTTTCGACAGCAGTCAAGCCTGAAAGCTTCTTCAAAAATTATTCTAGCATTTCTAAGCTACAAGAAGTAGTATGATTTATGAACAATGCTAAAAGTAAAAACAAAGTTTATGGTAATATGACTGTTCCAGAGATTGCTCAATCTCTGAAAATAATTATCAGGCATGAACAAAATATATGTTTTTGTGAAGAAATTAAATGTCTTTTAAACAAAAATCCAATTAAATCCTCAAATTTAAATTCTTGTTCCCATTTCTAGACAAAGAAGGTATTCTCCCTGTAGGGGGGAGGTTGCATAATGCAAATATTGAATATGATCAAAAACACCCAATAATTCTACCCAAAAACAATTCTATAACTGATCTTATAATAATTATCAGAGACCATTTAAGGTTGTTACATGCTGGTCAAAAACAAATTTTAAGTTCTCTTAATTTGAAATTTTGGCTAATAAACGGAAATAGGGAAATTAAGAAAATAATCCATAATTGCGTTACATGTTTCAAACCAAAAGCCCATTGTTCTCAACAATTAATGGGATCTCTGCAAAGGTCGAGTTATTCCATTAAGGCCATTCCAGAAGGTTGGAATAGACTTCTGTGGTCCTTTCAATCTAAAACAATCTCGAGTAAGAAAAACTATCATAACAAAAGGTTACATCGCTTTATTTGCTTGTTTCGCTGTTCATTTTGGAAGCTCTGTCGGATTTAACTAATGAAAATTTTTTGGCCGTTTTTAAAAGATTCATATCTCGACGTGGCAGACCCACTGAGATTTTTTGTGAAAATGGCGCTACTTCCAAAGGAGCAAAAACAAAATTGACGAATATCATGATATTTTCCTTGAACAAAATAAAAATTATATCAATATTTGTGTCTGGAAGAAAATGTTCAATTCGATTTTATTCCCATTTATTCTCCAGTCTTTGGTGGTTTGTGGGAAGCTGGGATGAAAAGCGCTAAATTTCACATAAAAAAAGTTGCTGGTAATTCTCAATTGACGTATGAAGAAATTAATACTTTGGTGGTTCAAATTGAGGGAATTCTAAATTCACGTCCTCTAACAGAAATGACAAATGATCCTTCAGACCTATCATATTTAACGCCTGGCCATTTTTTGATTGGGCGACCAATTACTGCGAACCTAAATGGTCGCTCATGCATCACCAATCTTGCTGTCTTTTCTAATGAAATTTGCATAGGTCTGGATGGGCTTGGACAGGTTGACGTAGTCTATACCGACTCTCAAAAGGCTTTTGATCGCATTAATCATTTTATTTTACTTTCAAAACTTCAGGCCATAGGATTGTCTGATGGGCTCTTCAGCCATTTTCGGTCTAACTTATTTGATGAAAATCTTTTTGTACAGTATGTGGGCTTCAGGTCGTCGGTTTTTAATACCACCTCAGGTGTTCCGCAAGAATCCAATTTGGGGCCATTTCTCTTTAATATATTTATTAACGATCTAATTACTGCTTTGGCCTGTTCAAAGCTCGCGTATATGACTTGAAGCTTTTAATAACCTCTGTGAATGGTGAGGAGGACTGTGTAAATTTGCAAGTATGACTAACTAACTTGCACACTTGGTGTAACAAAAATATGCTATACTTGAATATTGAAAAATGCAACATTGTCAGTTATTGTAGAATTAGGCAGCCAATTTCAATCTGTTATTGAAGGAAAATCATTAAATAGGGTTGAAATTAGAAATTTGTGCATAGTTTTTGACAGCCGCTTTACTTTTGCATCTCACATTGAATATGTTAGTTCGACTGCCATTGAAAAGCTTGGGTTTTTTCTTTAGAAATAGTAGCTGCTTCTCAAATGAATTCACTTTTAAACACTTGTTCTTCACTTTTGTTAGGTCCAAGCTTGAATATGATGCAATAATCTGGATCCCTATTTACGAGTACCACGTTAACACATTCGAAAATGTACAGACAATTTTTAAAGTATGTAACATTCAGATTAGATGGGTCATATCCTCCCAGAGGAGTCAATACATACAGGTCAAGCATCTTAATGCAATGCCCACTATATTTTGTGTGTTCTGTATTTAATAGTATTTCAAGTGTGTGCAATATTAATGAGGACCGATTGTCAAGAATTATCGTTACTATACTGAACAGTTAACTGCTGAAAGCATTTATAGCAATTCCAATATCCCAAATTAAATTACCAATTTAATTTATTAATGAGAATTGCTTCTGATACTTCTTACATACATCAAACCTAGTCCGAAAGCTAATTAAATCTGGATTTCAGACTATTGATCACATTCCCACGCTTATACCGACAATACGGATGTACGGGTCGAAGGATATACGCATAATTTCAAAGTTAAACCATGATGATGATGCATTGTTAACTTAGAACGGGGTTTGGCTTAATTTACCTGAAATTTGACCTGTTATTAGGTATAGGCATAGACCTAACTACTACGTACTACTACTACGTAGTAGTTAGGTCTATGGTATAGTTAGTCGGTAAATATACTGCAATTTGATTACACCGTAGATCTAGGTACTTCTAAATTCTTCAAATTTTATTTACCACGTTGATGCGATCACCCCATATTACCAAGCGATTAGGAAGATTTCCAGTAAATATTTTCCCTGTATAGAATAGGTATCTTTTAGAACTTAAATTTATAGCACATAAAAGTAATGTAATATAATCGGAATAATTAAGTAGTTTAAGTGAATTCTTTGAAGTATGTTAATTATAAATATAGGGTTATCCAAGTTCACCTTGAGAAAATTAATTTTAAAAAAAGACACTGAAGATTGAGATTCCGATAATTTATGGATAAATTATGGCATTATAAAGTGTGGTTATTGCCGTTATGTGTGAATTATAATATCATTTGAATATCCTCCAGGGGACCTCCTGCAGGACTCAATCCTGTTGAGGTGATTTTGGCACATTTCAGGCATATCCCGATCATAACTTGACGAATATTGTCTTTCAGCGCGTCAATCGTTAGAAGGTTGTTGGCATAAATACGATCTTTCACATATCCTCACAAGAAGAAGTACAATGTTGTTAGATCACAGGACCGTGTTGGTTAATTCACATCAGCCAATCTCAAAATTACTCGTCCTGAAAACTTTTCTCTTAACAAAGCCCGATTATCTCGTGTTGTGTGACTTGTGGTTCCGTCTGCGGTGATAAAGCGATTCATATTCTAAATATACCTGTTTTGTTAACATGTGTTCTTGACCGCTATCAAATGTCACGCGTGTACTTTCTCGAGCACAAAAAGGATAACCCTATATAAATGTTGTTTCTCTGAATTGGCTACACATGTCCTGACATAATTACATAAATAGAAGAAACTAAAAACATCATTTTTAACAGATGCAGACGTTAGGACAAATTTGAAAACTCATCAGAAAACCCTTTCTAACTTATAGAGACAGGAAATATGCAAAATATGAATATGTATATATGTATTGCACATACACCTACACATTAAATTGGAAACTTTCCATCAAACCTACTATACAACTGAATCAGTTCCTTGTATTTATCAAAGTGTATTTATCAAAGTGTCCAAAGCTTGCACTTACAATTAGCGTATTTCAGTTGGGAAATTTAATTTCCAAATTATCTATTCAAACCAAATTATATTGTAATGAGCTGCCATAAGTTAGGTGCTTAACTGTGCCATAAGTTAGGTGCTTAACTGTCAAGCCAGTGGTACTTCCTTAACTGCTTAAAGTTTTAAGCCCATGTCTAAATAGAATCGATTCCTGCTATTTAAGCATCCTGCATGCACCGTTCAATTTTGCTACGTGTAAGGTCAGAGGTCGCGCGTTGGTGTTTTGGTCCATTCATTTTAAATGAGAAAATCGAACCGGAGCGCCCTTCTGGATTGTTGTATCAAAAAAGCCGACCTTGTAATTTATAAAATATCAAGAGTTCATTACGGGGTTTCACAAGCGAGAGCATCTTTGGAATAAGGAAATAGGAAATTTCAATTTAAAACAAATTTAAACACTTTTTCTGAGTAAGATCTTAATGTATTTATATTTTATTCGAGATTGCTTATATAAGTATATTTAAATAATTATATAGGTAGGTACCTACTCTTTATAATAAGAAAAGTAGGTATACTTATCAATTATTCTAAGTCCAACTCCAAGCACTTTCCTAACTCCTTGGAAAATTCGCATCCGTCTTCGATGTCTAAAAATTAGTATGAAACAAATTTAATTAAAATCATTATGGTATTAAATTCGACGATGTTCATTTTCAAAAGACCTTCTAGGAAAAGTTCCTTCTACTTTCTACCGTAATATTTTCTATTGTATCTTACCGCTAGTAGTTAGACGTCCAAAACATCTTCTAGCATCCCTCAATGCCTGAATTCTGTCCATATCGTTACCGGTAACGTGCTCTTGTAGCCATTTGATGACCAAAGTTTCTGAAGGAGTTCTGTCTTCATCCAACTAAAATAATATTGCTCGAATTTTCCGAATGCCTTATATTCTATTAGTCGATATATAAAATATTATTTTAGTTTTTTTTTTTTTTTAATTTATACAATCTGAAGAAATTATTAAAAATAATCTTACCAGATGAAGGTATCCAAATATGCATTGACTGACACACTACAAGGAAATGTGGAAAATTCGATTTTTTTTTATTAGGTATAGGTATGTTATTATTTTTACCTGATTATCATCTCGACTGTCGCTATCGTCCCGTTTGTAATAACTATAACGCCTTTTTCTGCTTCGTGGCTTATTAAAACCAAGGGTCATTTCAGGATTATACCCTAAAATAATTGTGTAATATTTTTTTAACAAAAATTTTAGTCTTGTATTTTTTCAAATATTTTTATCTCACCGAAGATATTTGACCCATATCCACCATTATCCTTACAACCATCGTTTGAATTATAACCCCTATTAGAATTTCTCATATCATAACGGTTAGTGCTTCTTTCCTGATTTCTAGTATTTAAACTAGTCAAACCAAATCCTTCTTGATGGTTACCTGAACTGCCATACATAGAATTTCCTCTATTATTTTGCCCATAACCATCTCCAACTCCGGACCTGGTGTCTTGATTACCATTAATGCCGTACTGGTCGTTTCGATTCCCAAAATTCTTGCGATTTTCATTATTATTGTACCGTTGGCCGTCATTTTGTTGATTACCGTAGTTTGATTGTCTTTTGTTTGTTCTAAAAATCAAACTATAATATTTCAAAGTTCATTATCATAAACCTAAGCATAGTAATATTTCTGGGGAATTATTAAAAAACATGCAGATTTTCATGGGAAACAATTTGAGTTGAAAGTAAGGGCTATCTTTAGTTAACTTTAGTAATATAATATATTGTTTAACGAGTGACGAAGACAGCATTTTCTGCACTCGTTTGGTAAACTGTTTTCTCGTTGCAAAAATTGGTTTTTGACGAGTAAAACACTATACTTTTTCTATGATCATGTTTTGCTATACAGTTCAAGTAAAAGTTTTTTTGACAATGGTTTCCTTGGTTTGATAGATGGCGCTTGAAAACACGAATCAAGACGCCATCTATAAAATCATAATAATAAAGATAATAATAATATTATATTACATACCATCTGATACAAATTTACAAGTATAGGTATGATTCAATACACTAAAAAGGATGTTTGCATTATACTTTTTTAATTAATGCACCTAGGGGACTAAACCCCTGTATGTGCAATCTATCAATGAATGTGCTCATTTTTGCGATAATTCTATAACTATATTTTGCTTTTATTACCTTTAGTGTGTCCACTTAAGTTCGCAGCATATGGGAAACATCTTTATTATCAATTTTACGAACAAAAGTTATTCTTTATAAAAGTTTCTGCTTCTTGAAAAATTAGTATTAAACTATTGAAACTTGAAATAGCATGTACAGGGTGGTCAGAAAATAGAAAAATATACAGGGTTTTTTGGTAAAAGTAGAAAAAAAATGACACGTCACTATTTTTTAAAACCTTTGATATTTTTTTCATTAAGCAAGTCATATTACAGTCAAAAGATACCTTTCGTTATCACAAAAAAACCTGCCAAATTTGAAAAAAAAAATTGGAAAAGGGATTTTTGAGCTTGAAAAACGTTTTTTTCTAAAACTTTGACACCCTGTATCTCAGAAACTACGCATTTCCGGACACATGTTTATGGGAACTTTTTTTCTTAAAATATTGTAAGGAATCACATCCTGAAGTTACGAACCGTACTTAGGAAACACCCTGTATATTTTTCTATTTTTTCACCACCCTGTACATGCTATTTCAAGTTTTAATAGTTTAATAATATTTTTTTAAGAAGCAGCTTTCGATAAAGAATAACTTTTTTTGTAAAATTGATAATAAAAAAGTTTTCCATATGCTGCGAACTTAAGTGGACACACTGTATAAAGCAAAATTTACATAATTTTGTGATTAACTATATTTTTTCATTGTGCTTTACAGAATTAAAATTATAATTGGATTTGAGAGAATGTATTTAGCATGTAAAATTGTAATCATTTACTTTCGCTTACTAGTCACAAAAGTTAGGTAACGTTATGGGATATTCTATTACTAGTGACGAAAATGACGTTTTCGGCTAAGGTAAAATATGACGAAAGTTGTATATTCTTTAATAGTCATAGAAAAATCTTTTGTTCTTTGTGATTTCCGAAAATTTTAAATGCCTAAGTATTATTTTTTTACATAAAATTTTTGGTAATCTGGACCTGATAAATTGATGATAGATGTATGAAAATTTACCCGTAACCACTCCATTCGTTATTATAATTGTTGCTGTCATCTTCATTTTGCCCATAATTGTTATTATTTCCATAATGCCCATTGTTGTTTTCATTGTTGTCTCTTTTCATGTTATATCCATTATTACCATGATTATTTGTCACCCCATCATAAGAATTTCTGTAACCAGCATTGTTTTCAGAATTCCTAGCAGAATCGTTTTTTTCTACACCGCATTGCTTTAAAAAATTTTGAGCTTCATTTTTGAAAATATTAACACTTTCTCCGTCTTCGCTATTTTCTCCATTACTATTATTTCTCTGTCTAGTTTTGGTGGTATTTTTCAAAGCATCTTTCAGTTTATTTTCTCTGTTTTCGCCCAGTATCAAATTAGTCAAACAAAAAACTATCAGCAAACTTACAAAAACTATTTTGGGAAGTCTTGTTTGAGTCATGGTGAAAAAACGAATGCTTTTAAAAATGGAAAATTGATAATGATTTATAGCCCTAATTAATGTGTTTGTTTTCAACACATACAGTGGGCTTATTGTGAGTTAGATTGAAAAGGCCAGTGAAAATTTTCTTGTTTACTGAGTCAAATAATTACGAAGTCATATTTGTTATATGTAACTGACGTATCCGCTGTTAACGAGATAATTCTCCAATGATATGTTAATAATTTATTGTGAAGATTTTTGTTAATTTTTGGAAAGGCAATGGTTTATAGTTACGCGCTTAGTTAAGTACCTTTTTGTATCCACCTATTTATGGAGCCCTCATTGATTGGTGAATTTTATAATACCTACTATACTTAGATTCTTAAATTTTCTATAGATACCAAAAAAAAAACTGGCTCGTTGATTTTGTAAAAAATAACAATGTTACAAATATTTTTAGGTAGGTAAGTAGGTATATCAGATAAAAAGGAACATAGTTAGGTGTAGAGGTAAATCAAATTTCATCTAGACGAGGTCAGTGAGAGGTTAGATTTGTTCATATTAAATTGATGAGCGTAATCATTAATAATCTGTATAACCAAACTGTATATAACCTGTATAGGATCTATATTCAAATCTTTACTCCGAAAAAGACCACCTATATTCTTCTGGCAAAGCGACGATACGGGTTTAAATATAGCCTAGGTATGGACTGGATAAAGTTGACATGTAGCGATTTGCTATCGCTTGATATAGATTAAATGAAGTTTAGATACACATAATAATTAGCAGAAGCTACAAATAAAAAAAGTACCTACAAATATTTTTTTCAAATTATTATATTTTTGTTCTATAGGTATTTGGGGGAAATATAACTTATAGCTTTTATCTTATAATATTATCAATTATTACTTTAGAAAATTCACAAACCATCATACTTTTTTTACCTCCTCCTTCAATACAGGGAGGGTTGTTCCTGTGGTGGGACGCGAACCTACGACCTCGTCATCTGCCGTAGTTGTAATTTAACGGAGTGGCTTGACTCTCTGCGCCGACTGCACCAGCTAGCCCTTTTTAAAATTTTTGCAAAACTTGGCTTTATACTGTATTTTTAATCAATTCTGGCTAATTCAATATTATATTTACGCGTGTAATTATTAGGCAATTAAATGTAATGCCGGAAACTGAAAAGAAAAATTCTGGTCGTTGGGCGGAAGCGCGAGCCGAAACTTCTAGAGGATATCAAACGTCGACAAGAAATATTTAAGAGTAGGGTTACAATGAAAACTTAGATATTCAATCCTGTGGGTATTTTTCCTGCAAAAATTCAACTTGTAAGCAATACACACGTATCCATTGTATCAAAAAACTGATAAACAGCATAAGTGCCAGTGGACATTTTTTTTAACACAGCTGACAGCATACAACTTTTTAAAACTGCTCAGAATCTATATTTATCCGTTATTTGGTCTGCAACTTACCGTTACTTGGTATATGCTATTAATGTAGAAATATCAGTATCGATCGAGTAAAGACTCAATAAAGTAATAATTAATTTTCCTCAACAGTAAATAGTGTTATCAAAGAACTTTACAGGATCTATATAGATTCGTTGTCACTGATAAAACGATACTTAATTTATTTTATATATTTAAATCTTAGTATTCTATATAGGGAAAATCTACGTATAGAGGTGATGCTTTTATTGTCGCTGTACAAATTAAATAGAGAAATATCTGTACAGAAAATATTTACTTATGCTATAATTACGCTATTGTATAAACTGCTGGACACTTGAACTCACACATACAGATTTTTCGGCGAAATTCGAAGTTTCATAATATTTTCGACAAAAATAGAGTTTTTTTTTAATGTGGTTTGTGAAGTTTAATAGCCTGTTCCTTCCAGATAAAGTTCCAGGTAAAGTTTGCGCCAGGGTTTTTCTATTTAGGTAAAAATGCTTGGCAACGCCGCCTGCTGAAAAATTTGTGGGTACCAAAAGGATTTAGGCCAGTAATAAAATATTAGCGACGGAAAGCTAATGCAAAAATATAATTGATATTTTTCGGGTCGGCAATTTTCGGGAAATTAAAGTATTTTCAAAGTTGTGACCAGGGACGAAGCCATGGGGGGGTTGGCCCCCCCCCCCCAAAGTTCCTGAAATATATCGAAAGTTGGGAAAACTTGGAAAAAAAATTTAAAGTTGGGAAAAATTGGTAGACAAAAAATTGCGCACCCTATTTGCGCGGACTAATTCAAATTAACATACATTATCGTGTCACGTGTCGTAATGAATTGGAAAATCACCATACAACAGGATGACGAAATCCCAGTGGTCGGGGCGATCTTGCGTTGCACATTGCACTGCACTAGCACCACTAGCCTGTAACAGTGGCACGTGGCATTCGTGACAGTAGTGGCTCTAGCGCCACTAGCATACTATTCACTCGAGTATTCACTATTCGAGAGTCAAGACCGACGTAGTTATATCTATAGCTTGTTGTTGCGTGCGCGTCGTGTTTGAGAGAGATGGACAATATAGTATATTAGATAACCCAAACTTCTTATCACTTTGTGCCTTCTGCGCATTCTTCGCTCGCTATTCAGATTTCAGCAAAGCTCTGAATCCTGTGCTCTTATATTGAAGAAATTTTTTTTCGAACATTTTTCTTAAACACGTTTTTTATACATTGTTTATTTTATTTGATTATATTATTTGTAGGTCTGGAACAAGGTTGTTTGAGAGAGGTAGGTTGCCTGATAACTTTATGACGTCATCTGGGGTGCCTCAACATAATGCAAATCTCCAAGGTACCACAGATTAGATACGTCATCAAGTTACCCATTACCAGGCAACCTATTAACTTTAGGAATCTTGGGTCTGGAAGTCGTGAGCATAAAAAGTGGGACACCCAACTGACAGGTCTTGTCATTTTTCACTATTTTGGGTAAATCAGTCTTTTCTCAACAATGGATTTTTTTTAATCAAATATGACAATCCCTGTCATTGCCATAGGTATAGCTGATGAGCTCGTTTTACAATAGGAAAAAACGGGTGTCCCACTTTTTATGCTCACGACTGTACATGTCAAACTTTTTATCAGTTTTTGAAGTGAAACTCTTAGGAGGCGGTCTGATATCAGAGGAGAATATAGAGGATTATTTCAAGCGTTTGACCGGTCGGTTACACTTGACAGATAAACAATGAAGAAAGCGTCATCTGTTGACCAATTGGTCTTGAATGACGTAAAATGCGTTGTGCGTTGCTCATCTGTCAAAGTTACCGACTGGTCAATCGCTTGAAAACCCCATATGGAGAGTGATTTGAAAGACGAAAGACGCATCACGTAACGTCACGTTTTGGCAAATTTCGTTACAGGAGAGATGATACAGAAGGAAGCTATAACGTAGAGAGACGGAGAAAGACATCAACCAATGACATTGACAGCCGACGAACAATAGGGCAAGTACACGATCTGACAGTTTGACACTATTGACAGTCGCCTTGAGGTAAAACAAAGATATAATTTACACTGTTTTTTAAGTTTTTAGTTAGATTTTTTTAAATAAATACCTTTTGTGTGCTCCAGGAGTTTCTTGGACATGCCTAGAGTTCGTTAGTTGTTAATTGTGGCAGTACAGCGCAAGGGATACAATATCCTTCCATAGGTTTCCATCAATTTTAGATAACAATAGGAGGTTTGATTTGTTAGCTCAAGAAAGAAGAGAAAAATTGATTAATGTTGTTAAAAGAGAAGATCTGACAGAAAAATAGATTGAATATAGAGTAACTATACTTATATACAGTAAGGGGCAGGCTACTAGGTATATAGGATCCAACTTGACGAATTTACCACCGTCCGCAGCCGTTTGAACCCCTGTCACTGTCGTTCGTTCAACAACTTTGACGTTTGTTTACTTCAGTACGATAGACTTAAGCACCAGACGCTACGGTTCAGCTTACTGATCAAAACGTTTTGTCTGCAACGTGTTTAACTGTATGCAGACAAAACGTTGGGCAAAACGTAGCGTCTGCGCCATGATTTCAGATATTTCGTCAAGCTTTATTTATTTATAATTAAGTTTACGCGTGTAGATAGCTAAGCGTTGGTTATCAATGTAGACACTAGACACTTTAAGCAAACCCTAAATTTTCCTACGTATCCGTATCCGCTTCTGTAAACGCATCGACTTACGTTGACCACCTAAAACCTTTCATGGTCATACATTACTTAAACGATCGTATCCTTGGATGACACGTATTCTAACGAGAAAAAGTTTTGTTTTGATTTTGTAGCTGTGTTTGTAGATTTTATTTTTATCTATGAGTACTGTGTTTATGTTGTTGAAGTTATTTTAGTAATAACTGACAGGTAGATCCCTCAATAGTGTCAAATGATTGAGATACGTTTTCGGATACAGATACGAGTCTAGGCTCGTAACGATACGGACAACGCAACGCAACGAGACCACCGTATTTACTATCTATCCTGCGTTAGATACGTCTGAAATTCAGGACCTGCTTAAAGTGTCTACTTGCTTATCCTGAATTTTTATATGTATCCGTCTCCGCATCGATCTGCGCACGCGCAGAATAGATACGGTGGTTTCGTATTCCGCATAGTTACGGGCCTAGTCTCGTATCCGAAAACGTATCTCAGCCATTGTGTCTTTAGCCTTAGTTTTTTGAGTGACAGGTCTTTTCACGTTTTGTTTTTACCTCGTTGTCATGAGTTAAGGGTCATTCACATCCACTTAACTTAACTTAAGGTACGGAAAATTATAACTAACGTACGAAACTGAGAAGGTCTCTGTTAACAATGAAGTAAATTATCTTACATGACGTATGCGCACTTATAACCTGAACTGTCAAGTCAAATTATAGGTATGCACAGAAATGGAAATTATTATTTATTGCACGGATTTTCTTAAGTTGGTTCAACTTTTCCGTGTGTCACGTTAATTTTCTTAATTTTTAAGTGGATGTAACAACTATGTGATCTTCAACTTTTTTTTATTATTAATTTTCCGTACGTCAAGTTAAGTTAAGTGGATGTAAATGACCCTTTAGCACTAGATCTATTCGTCATTTTGCCACATGTGGACGCCTGCAAATTCGGCAAGTTATATCCTATATACCTAGTAGCCTGCCCCTCACTGTATTTGTTCTTGAGACACTTGGTTTTGATATTTGTTAAAAAAAACCTGATTTTAATCCATTATAGGAAAACCTAGCAAACTTTTGGATAAACCACCACATAGACTGGAACACAAACACTCCGCTCTAACTTTTTTAAAACAAAATAACACCAAAACTTGTAAAAAAGCTGTGAAAACCGCGTAAAACATAACCGGCCTAATCTACACGCATGTAAATAAATGATTTGTTTTACCTCAGGGCGACTGTCAAACTCATTTGTGACGTCACATGGACATGCCCTATAGAAGCTTTCATCGTCTGCATGACGCATGTGCGAGACTGTCAAAAGCGACGTCTGTCAATAGACGGGTCGACAAACAAAACATAAACATGGGCTTCGGAAAGTTAAGAAAAATTATGGAACTCGTTCGACTATCACTTTTACAATCACCAAACACACATCGCTTCACCGCCCCTTGATAAAACATATCACATTCCCCCAGAACTGCCACAGTTATTAAATTGAAGCCCGAAATTGAGAAAATTAATAACATTGACGTTGCTATTTATAGGTTATGTGACTTTGTTTGTCGACTTTCTGCCAAAGTCAGTCATAATGAAATCTTCTATTCCCACTAACGAAGGATTATAAGTAAAGAGGATTGCCTATTATTATCAAGCGTCGATACCCTTGTAACGTCACTATAGATACACGGGCTCTTCGTCTTCACCCCGACTCATACGCTAAGTCTCAAAGCTGTATGAGGGAGGAATATAGTTTTTGAAAAGTTTCACTTCCTAATACGTGTACGATGCTACACATGATTTTTTTGAACTGAAACTTCTTACGCGGCGGTCTGATTTGGAGGAGAATGGAGAGTGATTTGAAAGAAGCATCACGTTATACGTGACGACACGTTTTGGTCAATTTCGTTACACGAGAGACGAGAGAGAAGAAAAATATAACGTAGAGAAACGGAGAAAGATATTAACCAATGACAATGACAGCCGACGAACAATTCACACGAACGAAGAATTATAAGCAAAGAGGATTGCCTATTATTGTCAAGCGGCAAGCGCCGATACCCTTGTGACGTCACTACAGATGCGCGTTTGTCTATGGTGTAGCCTTTCGTCTTTATACCCCGACTCATGCGCTAAGACTATAAGTTGTATGAGAGGCAAGTTCATGAGAGAGGGAATAGTTTTTAAGAAGTTCCACTTCTCAACACGTCTACGACGTATGATGCTACATGTGATTTTTTTTATGTTTCAATAAAGTTGGGAAAATTAGGAATGTCACCCCCCCCCCCCCCCCCCCCAAACCAGAGGCCTTCGCTACGTCCCTGGTTGTGACAAACTTCTATCGGCTCGCGATCTTGAGAAGAAATTTACTCGTCCTCTACGCATCCTTTTTCCTCTTCCTAGCTATTCCAAATATCTTCCCCTTGGGTAAAAAAAAAATGAAGTTAACAAATTAAGTGCAACGAGACCGGTAAGCATTGTTTTAATTAATTATATTTAGACCAACTCAGCTACGAAGGAACATTTGGTCCCATTACGAGTCGGATTTTCCAGTAATAATTTTTTGTTAATGTACTTAATTTCATATTTTATTCGGTCAATAACGAGTTTGTTGCAAATATAAATAAATTCCATTATCATTCGGTATAGCTACGCGCAAAAAAGAGGTTTCCGCAAGTACGCACAAAAAAGGGGTTTGAGCGGTTTTTGGAATTCTCTCCGGGTGGACATGCGGTGTTGTCACGTTGAATTTATTTTCGGAAATAAATAGAAAGCTTATTTTGTCACAACAAAGTTAATTATTATTTCGAGTTCGGGTTTGAAAAATAATCGGGCGGTTTTCAATTTGGAAAAGCGGATTCCAAATATTGATTTACGGGCACAAATCAAGTTATTAGTCGTTTATTCGAAAAAACAGCAGTTTAGGTGTTGCCAAGAATATTGTGTTATTGAGTAAAAGGGGTTTGTTGCTTGTGTACTCTCGCACCCTGAAAAATAAGTTAGCGCGGTTTGCTCATATATTCTTGTTTGGGGGGCTTAACTTAATTCGGAAAAAGCAAAGATCAAACTTTTTTTTATTTTTTTTATTTCATCTCAAGGGCGGATTTTAGAGAATGTCTACAGCAGCGGAAAGAAAGGTTAGAGCTCTTCAGGCAAAAAAAGGAATCGTTGTTTTCAATTTTGCAGTCGCTGTATAATTTATCGAGAGCGCTGGATTCTGAAGCAGCAATTAAAAAATTTCAAGTAATGTATTTAACCTTGGATTCAACTATGGAGGCTTTGGGTTCGGTTGTGGATGAAATTCATGAGCTTCAATTGGAGATTAAGGCTGATTATGTACCGGATTATGGTTGGCTTACTGCGAGTAATGAACTTTCTTGCCATATTAGGATGGCAATAGAGAAAATAAAAAGAAGAGAAAGCCGTGAACAGACCCTTCCGAATACAGCCACAGCTGCGCGGGAACCGCGGTTGCCTCAGCTTCCTAAGATTGATTTACCGGAGTTTTCTTTCTGGCGAAATTCGCCAGTGGGAAACATTTCACTCTTTATATAAAAGCATGATACATGATAATTCATGTTTGACGCATCTAGTCATTCAATATTTGGTTGGTAGGTTGTGCGGTCCTGCTTTGGGAATTTGTGCGGGCATTTCTATAATTGGTGATAATTATAATATTGTTTATAAGGCTTTAACAGATAGATATGAGAACAAAAGGGTTTTAGCGAATACGTATTTACAGCAGATTTTTGAATTTAGATCGCTAAACGGCGAGTCCGAGCGAAATTTGAATTTGTTTCTGGAAAGGTTTGATGTTGCGGTTTCAGCTCTTAAAAGAATAAATTTACCGGACTTAGCGGATTTCATTTTATTACATCAGGCTTTGGCAAAATTAGACAGTGAAACGGTAAGAGCTTTTGAGATGGAATTTAGGGATGCCAAAGATATTCCAACTTATGCGGATTTAGTTAATTTTGTACAGTTTCAATCAAAAATTTTATATCTTAATAAACCTAGCACGTCTGGGTCAAGTCCTGGTTTAAAGGGACGAAACTATAATCCTAAAGATCAAAAAATATTCTTTACCCAACAGGACAACAAGAAGGTTAATAGTTGTAACTTTTGTCAAAACAATGGTCATTATTTGGGACGATGCGAACAATTCAAGGCACTTACTCCCAGTAAAAGGTATGAAACGGTCAGAGGTAATGGATGGTGTTTCAATTGTTTATCGGCTAAGCATGGCGTTAGGGATTGCCCAATAAATAGGGTATGTACGCAGTGCGAAAAGAAACATCACGTTTTATTACATGCGGGCAGATCAGATTCGGCAAGAAGCCCAAGAAAGGATCCCCCTAGCGCAGCGGGTGAAAATGGGGATGGATTGGATGCTAGAGATGGAGGTGAGGTTCTTTCATGCTCGACAACAGAAAAAAATTATAGCACCAAATACACAACATTGCTATCTACGGTGGTCGTTGATGTGATTAATAGTTCGGTTCCGAATCGTACGGCGCGATTGCTATTGGATTCGGGCAGTCAAGTAAATTTGTTGACGGTTGAATGGTGCAAGAAGTTGGGATTGAAAGTTTCAAAGTGTTTCTCTTCGGTTCAAGGCGATAATGCGCAAGCGGTGAGAGGCATGACAAATTTAGCTATTGCATCTCGGCATAATTCAGAGAGGATATTTTCTATCAATGTAATCTTGGTAGACAAAATCACGGACAAACTACCCAGAGATAATGTGGATTTGAGAGCAATTCCAGGGTTAAAAGGGGTATCGCTTGCCGATGATAAATTTGATCAACCCGGAGAAATCCATGGGATTATTGGAGCAGAACTTTTTGCAACAATCTTGGGGAAAAATAAAATATTGGGTGTGTCGCGGTCACCAGTGGCGATTCAAACAGCGTTCGGTTATGTGGTTATGGGTCAGATTCCTGTGTTACAGCGGTCTATTAAGGTATTTTTTACAGCGCGAGAGGAGCAATCACTAGAGCAACTTTTGACTAGATTTTGGGAGATAGAGAAAGTTCCAAAACGAGATTTAGTGGAACCAGACGAAGTTGCGTGTGAAATTATATACTCCAAAACATATAGTCGAGATGACAAGTCCGGTCGATATTCGGTTGCATTGCCTTTTAAAAACTCACCGGAAAGTTTAGGAGATTCGTATAAATCGGCGAAAAACAGACTGCTGTCGTTAGAAAAACGACTTTCTAGAGATGCAAAGCTTCGCACAGAATATAACAAGGCTATGGAAGATTTTCTCGATCAGAGTCATATGGGGTTATTAGAAAGAAAAAAGGATGAGGGAGCTTCTTATTACATTGCACATCATCCCGTCATAAAACTTAGTAGCTCTAGTACACCGGTTCGGATTGTGTTGGATGCAAGCGCCCCTTCGGATAATGATGTTGCCCTGAATGATATTTTATACAGTGGTCCAAAGTTACAGACGGATATAGTAACTTTATTATTGAATTTTCGATTATTTAAAATTGCGGTGACTGCGGATATTCGGCAAATGTACCGACAAATCAACGTAATTGAGGATCATTGGAGATATCAGAGATTGTCGTGGCGGTTTAACCCAGAAGATGAGATCAAAATTTATGAAATTAGAGTAGTGGCATTCGGTTTAAAGGCTTCACCTTATTTGGCTTTGCGGACGGTAAAACAGCTAATCAAGGATAAAGGTGCTAGATTTCCTATTGCTTCGAAATTTGTATCGCGGGATTTATATATGCATGATCTTTGTTCGAGTGTTGAATCGGAAAACTGTGCAATTCAGCTATACAATGAATCGGTCAAGTTATTTAGTTTTGGTGGTTTTGATTTAACAAAATGGTCTACAAACTCGGAATGTCTTTTGGATCATATTCCAGTAGAAAAACGCTTAACTAATCAGGATGTTATATTTAAAACGGATACAAAAATATTGGGGATAAAATGGGATTCGGAAAAGATATTTTAAGTTTCAAAGTTAAAGTTCCTGAGGAAAAATGTACAAATCGGGGGATTTTATCGGCGGTCGCAAAATGTTATGATCCTATTGGTTTATTGGCACCATTTATTTTGTGTTTGAAAAAGATAATCAAAGAATTGTGGTTACTTAAATTAGGCTGGGATGAACAGCCTCCTCAGATTATTGTGGATACTTGGGAAAAAATTCGGTCGGAATGGGTGGATTTGGAAAAATTTAGAGTTCCGCGACATATAGGTGCCTCTGCGCGACAACCGGTAATTACTTTAGCTTTTGCCGATGCCAGTTTCGACGGATACGGAGCCGTGGTTTATTTAAGAACCATCTCGTTGAATGGCGAAATTAATGTCCAGCTTGTTTGTGGAAAGTCCAGGGTTTCTTCGGCGAAATCTCTGACAATTCCTAGATTGGAACTTTTAGCAGCTTTTCTACTTTCTAATTTAGTCAAACATGTTCTAGAAACATACAGGGATCGGGTTTTCATTTTGAAAACTTTAGCCTTTTCGGATTCATCTACTGTGATTAGTTGGTTGAAGGCGCCGTATGTAAAAGACATATTTGTTGGGAACAGAGTGGAGCAAATTAAAGAATATATACCAAGTGTCTTGTGATATCATATTGAGGGCATTCAGAACCCGGCTGATTGCTTATCTCGAGGGCTCACGCCTAGCCAATTAGTGAGGCATTCTATGTGGTTGCAAGGACCATCTTGGATGAGTCTCCCGGAGAATCAGTGGCCTGATTTTCAGCCGATTCTATCGGATATTTCGCTAACTCCTGAAACTCCACCAATTCTACTTCTGAGTACTAATTTAATTGACGAACTCATGGAATAAAATACTGCGGATTACGGTATATGTTTTAGGATTTTTGAAAATCATCCCCATGCAGGGATTTATCTCGGCGAGTGATTATAAAAAGGCGGAAATGATTTTAATTAAACTGGTACAACGTAAACATTTTAATTCGGATATTGAACGGTTACAAACCGATCAAGAATGATCCCCTCAGCTCAGAAAACTGCGACCGTTTATGCAGGATGGGTGTCTGAGGGTCGGGGTTAGAATCGGAAACTCAAATTTAGCTTTTTCACAAAAACATCCTTTAATATTACCGGCTAAAGAAACTCTAACTGAAAGATTGATAGATTTTTATCATAAAATTAATTTACACACAGGCGCTAGTTTGTTAGACGCCTTATTAAGACAAAGATATTGGAGTTTGGGTGGTACAAATTTAATTCGGGGAAGGGTACGTAAATGTAATAATTGTTTTCGTTTAAATCCAGCGAATTTAACACCTCTCATGGCGGACTTACCTGCGGTACGGGTTCAAGAAGCGCGTGCATTTCTTCACACCCGGAGTTGATTATTTCGGTCCTATAAGTATTACGATGGGAAGAAAGAGAAATGCGCAAGTGCATAAAGCATACGTGAGCCTATTTATTTGTATGTCGGTTAAGGCTATTCACTTGTAACTAGTTAGTTCTTTTTCTACGGCACATTTTTTACAAGCCTTTAAACGATTCATGTCTCGAAGAGGTCCTGTCAAAGTTCTACACTCTGACCGAGGTACGAATTTTGTCGGCGCTAGGACAGTTCTAAAGGAAATTAATGAATTTATTAATTCTCCGGATTATAAAAGTTCTTTGGAAACCGAGTTGGCAATGAATAATATTGAATGGAGATTTAATACACCTAGTGCTCCTCATATGGGCGGCCTATGGGAGAGTCACGTTAAAGCGGTGAAAACGCATATTTATCGGATGATAGGAGATCAATTATTGACCTACGAGGAATTTTCTACCTTGTTAACGCAAATTGAGGCACTTCTCAATTCGCGACCATTATGCCGTTTAATCGCGGATCCGGTTGCTCCGGAAGCTCTAACGCCGGCACACTTTTTGACGTTAACTCCTTTACGTGGATTTCCGTCTGAACCTTTAGCAAAAATTCCTCTGAATCGACTGGACCGATTTCAGTTGATTGATAGTATGGTTCAGAGTTTTTGGAGTCGTTGGAGGTTAGAGTATCTAACGTCATTACAAATTAGGCAAAAGTGGTCTAAACGTAATTTTAACATTGCGGTGGGGTCGGTTGTCGTCCTAAAAACGGATAATGCTCCGCCCTTACATTGGCCTTTAGCCGTTGTCTCAGAAATTCATCCCGGAAAAGATGGAGTAGTCCGTAATGTGACGATTAGAACCAGCAAGGGTACCTTTACGCGTCCGGTGGTAAAGATATGCCCTTTGCCAACCCAATAATTTTAGGTAATAGTTCGTTAAGTATAAGATAAGATTATAGTGTTTTTTTTTTTGGTTTAGTTTAGGATATCGGGGTAACATATTGGTGGCATTTACGGATGCAAAATTTAGGTCACATATAAGGTTTAAATTTTATAAGTAGTTACTCTGATTTGTAGCCACCCTTACGGCAGTAATTTTTTTTTGTATATAACTTATGGTCCTTCGATGTTTGATCGGCAATTCTGATAAAGATTTTTTTTGTTTTTTTTTTCCTAATTTTGGTTTTTTTGGAGTAACTCGAGTTTGCTAAAAAACGGATTTTTCAGGGTCGGGGGTATGTTTGCGCCAGGGTTTTTCTATTTAGGTAAAAATGCTTGGCAACGCCGCCTGCTGAAAAATTTGTGGGTACCAAAAGGATTTAGGCCAGTAATAAAATATTAGCGACGGAAAGCTAATGCAAAAATATAATTGATATTTTTCGGGTCGGCAATTTTCGGGAAATTAAAGCAGGGTCGGCGCAACCCTTAGGCGAACTAGGCGGTCGTCTAGGGCGGCAAGCTTAAAGGGGCGGCAAAAAGGCTACAAAAAAAAAATCTTTTGAATTCTGCTTTGCTTTATTCCATTTCTCTGGCAAACCCTAACACAAACTTTGCCCTTCTTAGGCCGGTGACACACTGGAGAAATAAGTTTCATGAAACTTGTTGGAAGAAACAGGAAATTTGTTTCATTTTTACACGACAAATACATTCGAATGAGGCGGATCACACTGGCGTTCCTGGAACAGGAGAGCAGAAATTGTTTCGCCAGTGTGCGCCTCCTTATTTGAATGTATGTGTCGTGGTCGTGTGATAGATAATGGAACAAATTTCCTGTTTCTTTTCTTTCAACAAGTTTCATACAACTTATTTCTCCAGTGTGTCACCTGCCTTATGAGCACATACTGCTATACCTGTTTCTGTTAGTCGCTAGGGGTCGTGCGATCGGGTGGCGGGTTGCCAAAAACTACTTATCTTATATTATGAATATTTTTGGCACAAAATTAACGTTTTGGGCGGGCGTGGCACCAGTGACGATATTCCAATCTATATTCTGTAAGTCAGGTTATATTATTTACAAACATTAATAAAACTATAAGACATGTTTTTGAAAATAGCCATGCATATTTGTATTTTTACTTGATGGGGGCGGCTGAAACTACATTTGCCTAGGGCGCCAAAGTCGCTTGCGCCGACCCTGAATTAAAGTATTTTCAAAGTTGTGACAAACTTCTATCGGCTCGCGATCTTGAGAAGAAACTTACTCGTCCTCTACGCATCCTTTTTCCTCTTCCTAGCTATTCCAAATATCTTCCCCTTGGGTAAAAAAAAATGAAGCTAACAAATTAAGTGCAACGAGACCGGTAAGCATTGTTTTAATTAATTATATTTAGACCAACTGAGCTACGAAGGAACAGCTACTTGCTGTAATTTTTTTATAGGAGCCCAGGGTTTTGATATACGGGGCGATAAAATAGGTAATTTAAGCCCTTTGGCCTTGGAAATACCATTAAACGTCAAAATATGGCAACAAAATCTTAATAGTACCGTAATAGACCATAAGCTCACTGCCAAAAAGTACACTGAAAAAAAAGGTACACAAATATAACGAAATAGTGCATTAAACCAGTGAATCTCGTCATTAATATTGCGCCGGTGAATGAATTTGATAATATTATTGAAAGCTGTTCGTTAAATAGATGAAAAAAAGGTTCATTGATTTAACGGTTGAATTCATTGTCGCAGAGTAAGGATTCTATCATTTTGACGTATAGAATTCGTTGTCTGAGTGAAATAACTTCTTCAATATAATGTACAAATAACATTGGTTTAATGAATCGAATTTTCAATTTAATGTATGCGGTTTGTGGCTTAACGTATGAATGCATTATCCTAAGCTCAGTTGCATGAACAAGAATATTCATATTATGGGTTCGGTTCAAGTTAACCCGAGCTGAACTGTGATTAAACCCTCAAATTTATTAGGTATGTTGAATCATCATCATCATCATCATCATAGGCAATCGCTCGATACCGAGTATGATTATCTTCTATTCTATTCTTCGTCGATATATAAACCAATTTTGGAGCCGCACACTCTTCCACAGTCTTGGCCCACCCAGTCTCTGACAGCATTGTCTCTTCCTCTAATCTCCCGCTCCTTCCTGCGTTCCCTCTTTTCGGTCTCGTGTCTGCGTCGTTGTTCTTCAAAAGTTTGTGGTCCATCGTGGACTACTCAACTCTACGAGAGCCTATCATTTGTCCTCGACTCCCAGTTGCTGATATCGACGTGGCACTTTGCCGAAATTTCCTTTAGAACATCTTTGTAGCATTTTTGTTGACCTCCTTTATTCCGCTTTCCATCTTTCAGCTGACTGTAGAGAATCTGTCGTAGACGTGTTTCGGGCATGCGAACAAGGTGACCTGTCAAGCGAAGTTAGTGCTTGATGATAAGGGCTTCCAAGTTAGTTGGGTTGACCTCCTCTAAAACACTAATGTTCGTTCGTTGGTCAATCCGTAGAATCCTTCTTAGGCATCGCTAGTGGTATTTTTTTAGGCTTTTTATGTGTTTTCTGTAGGTGGTCCATGTTTCGTAGTTATTTATGTAAGTGTTGGTATTACAACTGTATCGTACACACGAACTTTGATCTCAACGCTGATGTCGTGACTGTTACCAACTCTGTCTAGAAGACGCCCAAACGCCGCGCTAGCACACTTCAAGCAATGTTGGATTTCAGCGTCAATGGTTGACTTCGCTGACAGATGACTCCCGGGTAGAGTCCCACGTTCTGCAATGTTTTCTGTACACTATAAATGAAGAAGTTATTCCACTCAATGAATACCTACCTGAATTCCGAATTTCTCCGAAAAAGAGTTGAATTAAACACCAACACAATAAAATTTCCGGATAATTTACGACATATTGTCGATAATATGGAGTTGGAGTGCGGGTGTGCTTAATGAATTCTATACGTTAGCATGACGAATAGGTCTTTATCAAAACTATAAAATTCATTAAATTAATGAGTAAAGTTCGTTAGTTATAAACGTTCGTTAAATCACTAACACATGCGTCAAGCTGATGAAACATATTCATTAACTAATGAACTCTTGGTAATTGATTTGTTGCATAACTTCCTTGACACAATGAAGAAAGTTCCATAAGCATGATGAGCAAACTTTTTGGTATAAGATATAATCATCTGTACAATGAATGTAATTAATGAACGATTATTCATAAAATCCAGAAATAGAATAACTGGTCTTCAAAGAAAGTTCCTTACACTGATTGCCCTCGGAGTAGTTGTTTCTGACTGGTCAACGAAGTTCAATTTTGCTTGGACAGGGAGCTTCAGCCTATGTCCTTCTGATGAGTCCTAACAAGGACTAAACGCGTCAAGGATTGGCACGGGAAACCTGAGTCCACTGCTCAGTGGGCCGATTCCCAAACAGGGACCGAAGTGTCCCTGTATTCACGTTGGTCATAACCTGTAAAAATCTTTCTAACAATTTCTATTGCCAACGAAAGCTCAGACCAATCAGTGTAGTTCAACGCCGGTAGGGGTATTTGCCCTCGGAGTAGTTGTTTCTGACTGGTCAACGAAGTTCAATTTTGCTTGGACAGGGAGCTTCAGCCTATGTCCTTCTGATGAGTCCTAACAAGGACGAAACGCGTCAACGATTGGCACGGGAAACCTGAGTCCACTGCTCAGTGGGCCGATTCCCAAACAGGGACCGAAGTGTCCCTGTATTCACGTTGGTCATAACCTGTAAAAATCTTTCTAACAATTTCTATTGCCAACGAAAGCTCAGACCAATCAGTGTAGTTCAACGCCGGTAGGGGTATTTGCCCTCGGAGTAGTTGTTTCTGACTGGTCAACGAAGTTCAATTTTGCTTGGACAGGGAGCTTCAGCCTATGTCCTTCTGATGAGTCCTAACAAGGACGAAACGCGTCAAGGATTGGCACGGGAAACCTGAGTCCACTGCTCAGTGGGCCGATTCCCAAACAGGGACCGAAGTGTCTCTGTATTCACGTTGGTCATTACCTGTAAAAATCTTTCTAACAATTTCTAATGCCAACGAAAGCTCAGACCAATCAGTGTAGTTCAACGCCGGTAGGGGTATTTGCCCTCGGAGTAGTTGTTTCTGACTGGTCAACGAAGTTCAATTTTGCTTGGACAGGGAGCTTCAGCCTATGTCCTTCTGATGAGTCCTAACAAGGACGAAACGCGTCAAGGATTGGCACGGGAAACCTGAGTCCACTGCTCAGTGGGCCGATTCCCAAACAGGGACCGAAGTCTCCCTGTATTCACGTTGGTCATTACCTGTAAAAATCTTTCTAACAATTTCTATTGCCAACGAAAGCTCAGACCAATCAGTGTAGTTCAACGCCGGTAGGGGTATTTGCCCTCGGAGTAGTTGTTTCTGACTGGTCAACGAAGTTCAATTTTGCTTGGACAGGGAGCTTCAGCCTATGTCCTTCTGATGAGTCCTAACAAGGACGAAACGCGTCAAGGATTGGCACGGGAAACCTGAGTCCACTGCTCAGTGGGCCGATTCCCAAACAGGGACCGAAGTGTCCCTGTATTGACGTTGGTCATTACCTGTAAAAATCTTTCTAACAATTTCTATTGCCAACGAAAGCTCAGACCAATCAGTGTAGTTCAACGGAACGCCGGTAGGGGTATTTGCCCTCGGAGTAGTTGTTTCTGACTGGTCAACGAAGTTCACTGATGAAAGTGTTCGTTCGAACAATGGAAAATAAAAATTCACGGGTTTTATGATAATAATGAACATAAATTCGTTACATTAAGGAACGAAGTAATTAGACTATGAACACTGATTAATTGGATTGATGAAATATTTCATTTAATTAATGACAACCCAAACTATCCTATTGACCAAGGGTCATTTCATTTCTTAGAATTTTCGGAGTTATCGCAGAAATTAAATTTAGAAAAATGTTAACAATGTGACAACATTGTACTGATATCTATTCTCCGTTGGCGCCTGAGATAAAAATATTGTTGTGACAATTTAAAGTTTCATCTCTTGGAAAGCAACACTCATCAGTAAGTAGAATAGATCGTACAAAATTCGGTTTTCTTGAGATTTTTTGGCGAAACCTTTCACAAAAACGGAGTCTGCCTGCGAAATTTTCAGGAGACAATGCCTGTAAATATACTCTGCTGCAGAGGCTGCACCTGATACGGGTAAAGCAAATTTGGTCGAAGGGTCCGATGAACTGTTGAATGGAAATATCCAACTTGTCCGGCAGTGAATCGACTGCTTATTCCAGGGCTATCTTCCACTAACGCTAAAATCTGGTTTTTCATCGGCAGGTGTCATTGGTCTTGCAGATCGCCGATTAACATTTTGCACACTTACGCTTCCTGTATCACATAATCTTTGCAAAACGGACACAATTTTTTTTTCGTTAAGCCGCGTCCAGATTAGTAAATAAATGCGTTGCGTTGAATTCGGGATTCGCTACAAATTTTTGCGGCGCAAATTTGGCATCTTGACCAACATAAATATTTGTGTTGTGCGCCGTGCGTTCTTGCTCAACGCGTGTGTGCCTATTTTATTTCAGTGTGCGCGTTGCTTGTTTTTGGTTACTTGTTTTGTTCGCGAAAAAATGCGTCCACACTAGAACGATGTTGCGCCGCAAATCCCTTTGATGTCTTGAAAAAAACCGACAAGCCGCGGATCGCGTGCGGTGAATGTCGCGAGAATTTTTGCGTGTCTACACTCACATAAATTTGTATCGCACACACAAATTTGTGCCGAATACCACGCACAACGTACATTTTTACTAATGTGGACGCGGCTTTAGGTGCCTTGCGGCTTTAGGTGCCTTGCGGCTTTAGGTGCCTTCCTATCAGGAAATCTTTCTTTGTAAATACTGGCGGCTCAATGAGCATTCTGTAACGATTCTCCGTAAACAAGTATCTAACATATCTGAGAAACCGAATTACGAGTAACATTGTCAAGTTATTTTTTTAAATGAAAAATGCATAAGTAATCACTCAATAATTAAATGTGATTAATTTTTTCAGATTCCATAATGATTACAATTTTCATTATCTTTCAGATGTTCGTCAAAAAATGCAAAACTTCAAAAGCTTTTTTCTTAAAAATGGTTGGGTTTGGACCCTCAAAAAATATTCTTATAATTTTATGCATTCAACGAATGCGAGAGCAAGCGATGGTTGGTATATAGGATAGGGAGAGATTTTAATACTATTTTAAGAAATATGTCTTTCAGGTTTTTATTTATCTTGAAATAAGCTAACAAGTACCGTTATTATTATTCTGATTTATTAAACAAAAATACAAAAAAATTCCATGTGAGATAAAATTAGCATTTCACTTCGTTTGGCTCGAGTTTTGTGTAAATAATGGATCTTTCCCATACTTCCTCACAGAACTTTTTATTTTTCAATTGATAAGGATGCCATACCACCCTTCCTTCCATGAAAAATTTCCCCGTGATATTTTTAACTTCATCCGCATGGGCTAGGTATATTAATGTTTGCGCACCTTCTTCTGCACTCTAAAATAATGAAAAAGTATAAATTGCCACCGATAGTAAGCCAAGTAGATGAATAGTGCAGTTTTTTTCAAAGAGCCGGTCATAAATGGTTTATTTATGTACATAGTAAATCTTTCACCCAATGCTAAGTATAATGCTATAAATATCTAAAATTCGGTTCAACAAAAAGTTTCAGGAAATGATTCAAAAATTAGACTTGATTCACTTGATTGTATTAATATTTGGTTGTAAAAATAAAATTACCAAGAATTATATCGGATGCGTCATTTGCCCCTTCGGAAATATCAGCCAGATAAACAATTGCGACAAAAATTAAGGAAAATGTCGAAGCTTAGAGCATAGGTAGGCACACTTAAAATCCAAATGATGCTTGTAACATTTTCTGTGCAAAAGAAAAATTCGTGAAAAAAAAAAACGGATACCTATATTAGTACAAGATCCCGACTTGAAGCGACCTTCACCCATCGAGTTTCCTAATGAAACTCAAAATTCAACAAGATAATGTTTTAATAAAGAAAACTTGATATGGTTGCCGGCCCATATCCCTGCAGGGCTATTTTTAATAAAAAATTATATATGTCAATTTTATTTCATAATTGTAGTTTTTGAGTTTCCGGATAAATTTATTACTAATAGAGAGTAAAATATGCATATAGAAAGCCTAAATATGGTTGCCACTTTATTTCCCTGCAAAAGTCAAGATTGTCAGGTGTCAAAAGAATTCAAAAGAATTCGAAGAATGAGTATTTTGTAGTTATAGAGTTTCCTTACATAATTTATATAAAAATGTAGATAATTTAATTGCGAACACAATGGTTTTGGGTTGCCAAAGCAGAAACCGGCAGAACCTAAGGTTTGCAAGACTTCAAGTTTGTGAAAATTGTAGAAGAGAATAGCGCGCGACAAAGAAGTACTCTGTGTCTATGCGCTGTAGAAGGAAGCCGAATAGAAGTAAAACAGCGGCTCTGGAAGAATTTTGAATAAACAATTTTTTATAATGTTTTTATCATTATTTTCATTATTTATACACACGGCGCTTGTAAGAATACTACTAGTCCAGTGAATACATGAGTTTTTCAAAAAATTTAACGAGGGCTGGCTGATTTTTTCAGAGCTGATTGGAGACTGGTGCCTTGAGTATTGAGCCAAAAAATCTGACTCGAAACATTATTTCTTATTTATTTTTTTTTTCGACAAAATGACCTCAATAAAAGTTGTGGATAATTACATTCTGATCAACTTTGCCTTATGACTTTTTCTGCTAGCTATTTTAGTTTAGGCGCTGCAACCATTTTAAAGCTTCAGAATTCGGAAAAAAAAATAGCAAACCTGCAGATTATTTGTACCCATAATTATTAGTGCGGCTTCTACAACTTACACAATTTCTTTTTTTTTAATGTTTAATACAGAACTTGTAGGGTTTAACCTCTATCATCTTTTGCACATGTTAAAAAGGGGCAAATGACAGGTGCCAACTGTCAGAATGACAAACACTTGCATTTTTTTGAATGGAATACTCTGCACATTTTTAGTTAAAATGATTGATTTTTTCTTTTGATCCCAAATATACCATATATTATATTTGGTTCAGCTGTTTTTGCGCGATTTCAGTTCAAAATTGCATTAAGCAAGTCTTACTACATATAAAGGAACGGGAATAGACTTCGGTTAAGGTGAATGCATTTTTAAACTTAAATAGCGTAGAAACAGCTGAGCCAAATATCAAGATATACCTATGGTATATTTGGGATCAATCATTCTAGCCAAAAATATACAGGGTGTTCCATTCAAAACAATACAAGTGTTTGTCAATATGACAGTTGGCACCTATCATTTGCCCGTTCTGACATGTGCATAATATAGTAATAGAGGTAAAGCCCTACAAATTTTGAATTTACCATTTTTAATTTTTTTTTTTTGTGTAAGGTGAAGAAGCCGCCCTAATCATGAGTACAGGGTGTTTTTTTATGTATTGACACCCCACATACAGCCTTTACCTCGACAGGCAGAAGAAAAGTGTAAATACAAAAGTCGTACAGTTTTGGCTACATTTTTAGAATCCATGGTCAGAAACAGAAATTGAATGTCAGAAATGTGAAATGTTGCATGCTTTCAGCTTTTTTCAAATCGGATGCCCCATATTTAGTTCTATATTCTTGAAGAGCATAATTTTCTGATTCCAAAAATATATAGATCGTCTATGTTTGGTTGAGCCGTCTCTAACATATTTGGTTCTAAAAATGTTACAAATACTATCAGAGAAACCAAGTACTTCCGTCAAATTTTACCTGCAGCTTTAACCTGTACAGGTAGAATGGTTTACAAAATCAGTTAGTAGGATAATATTTTTACAATTTTTGGAGCCGAATATATAAGAGATTGCTCAACCAAATAAGACAATCTATATATTTTTGGATTCGGGGCATTGTGATCTTCAAAAATATAGAACCAAAACTGTACAACTTTTGTATTTACACCTTTCCTCTACCTGTAAAGGTAATGGCTGTAGTTGGGGTGTACAATAATCTGCTATTTATTTTTTTCCGAATTCTGAAGCACTAAAATGGTCGCATCGCCTATACTAATGTAGCTAGCAAAAGAAGTTATTAGGCAAAGTTGATCAGGATATAATTATCCACAACTTTTATGAAGGTCATTTTGTCGAACAAAAATAAATAAGAAAAATACCAATAGGGCCGAACGCACAAGACTTTCGAGTCAGATTTTTTGGTTCAATATTCAGGACATAGTCTCCAATTTGCTCTGAAAAAATCAGCCTGACCTCGTCAAATTTTTTGAAAAACCCATATATTCACTGCACTAGTAGTATTCTTACAAGCGCAGTGTTTATAAATAATAAAAATAATGATAAAAACATCAAAAAAAAATGCATTCCAAATTCTTCCAGCTTAATCGCTCTTTTACTTCTATTCGGCTTCCTTTTCCAGCGCATAGACACAGAGTACTTCTCTGTCGCGCGCTATTCTCTTCTACAATTTTCAAACTTGAAGTCTTGCAAACCTCAGATTCTGCCGGTTTTTGCTTTGGCAACCCAATACCATCGTGTTCGCAATTAAATTATCTACATTTTCATATAAATTATATAAGGAAACTCTATAACTACAAAATACTCATTCGAAGTTACCTTTTGACACCTGACAACCTGGACTTTTGCAGGGAAAAAAAGTGGCAACCATAGTTTGGCTTTTTATATGCATATTTTACTCTCTATTATTAATTTTATCCGGAAACTCAAAAACTACAATTATGAAATAAAATTGACATACATAATTTTTTATTAAAAATAACCCTGCAGGGATATGGGCCGGCAACCAAGTTTTCTTTATTAAAACATTGTAAATACCGAAAGATGAGCCAAAAGGAAGCTTTATAGAAGTCTCAATGTTGCTCGACATGGACACAGGGCCGTAGCCAGGGGGGGGCATTGGGGGGCAATGCCCTATCTTTCAAATGATCATGCCCTACCTTTAAAACGCAACATGCCTTAAGGTTTCTGTAGAAAATTTAAGAGTAGATAATGAAAAGGCCTGGAATCGAATAAGTGCGAGGATAAGTGTTTCCGAAACCTCCTAAATGTATGCAACAATGTTAGACGTTTACACAGAGGTAGTTTTTCGTTTCGAAAGAGTGCAAATGCAAGAATAACTCTGCCTACGTAATCATTGGTTCTTTGGCGTGATGGGGGGCTTGAGATTTGATATACACAGGCCTTATGATGTTAAGCTATCCTGTGATAGTAGTAGTAGTAGTAGTAGTAGTAGTAGTAGTTGTCATTTTTTTTACATCATGCTAGTAGAAGAGGACACGAATGCACTCAGTGCACACTGAACTTACCAATGGATTTCACTATTAGTGTGTATTATCCTTGGTGCGAATGGTCCAAGGCGGCGCGAGAATCAGCGCCATTTTGTTTACTTGCCAGAGCAGAGACGTTATTTATTGAAAAATTTGCCTTCGGCGCCATTACCACCAGATTGTTTACCTATAATTTAAGGGAGGGGGGACAAGTAGTGTATGCCCTATGTCAAATTTGTCATGCCCTATCACAAATTTGACTCTAGCTACGGCCCTGCATGGACAATGCTCCAAGTTAAAGCGTGTTGTCAAAAACGTACCTACCTACCTATTTGAAATTTTTGAAATAATTTAAACACTGATAGAGGTGTGTGGATGTGCACGAAACGGTTACAAATATAATAATTATCTAAGACTTTCCGTCTTCATTAACCGTTTCTTTATTTCCTACACTTTTTCAGATACCCATACATGTAGGCCCTATTTGGACCACACTGGATAGACGATACGCGTCATTCGCATGAAAACGTCTGCAGATAAAAGACAATCAAAACTTTGCGACAATAAACCAAAAGGTAATGTGTGTCCAAAGTTTTTTATTTATCGGAACAATATTATTAAGAAATATTTTTTCAAATAGGCCCAAAAATAAAATCTCTCGAACATACCGATAAGGGACGCATAAATGCTACTGATGTTTTGAATAAATTCGTAACAGCCAGCGACGAGCGTTGAGAGTAACTATCAAAATACAAACCAATCAGTTAAAAAGAGACAAAGTGATAAAGCATAAAAGTAAGACCTGCACAAACTGGAAAAACGAAAATGAGTTTGCAGAGTAGTTACATCGCTGAAGCCCTCCAAAACAAACCGAATCAACCGACAGCAAGTTAATGACCTATATGACAGTATATTCGATAATAGAAACAGAAAAAAAACCCTGCCCCACAGGAGCGAATGAGCAACAAATAGCCGAAACAAAAGCACAAAATGGAACAAAGAAGAACTCTTAGGCGGGTTAGACACTGGAGAAATAGGTTTCATGATACTTGTTGCAAGAAACTGGAAAGGATAACGCACACCTAACATGGGATTTTTGGGCTCTATGGATTTTGCCCATTTTTTGATATTTTGTAGAGGATTTCATTCTGAACAACCTTTAAATGGGACGAAATCTTGTAGGTATTACGGTCTTTGAGATATGAGCCTTGAAATATGAGCTTTTTTGCGATTTTTTGTGTGGAGAGTATACGAGATACTGGTGCTACTGGTGTTTATCAGTCAAAATTAGGGATGTCAATAACCGGTGGTTAAAACCGAAAAACCGGTGTTTTCTTTTCAGTTAACTGGTTAAAACCAGTTGTTTTTTGCTTCCAGTTATAACCGGATAACCGGGTTTCATACCTAATAACCGGTGAAAGTGAAACATGTAGACTTTTCTCTTGTCTTATTAAATAAATTGTAAAATATTGAATAAGCGACAACAGTCGAATACCTATTTCCACAGTCTTTAACCAATAGTAGTGCCTATCTTTAGTATTTCATTTCAGTTTTGGTTGATTCGTTCAGCAGCGGGTTGTTTTCTCAATGGGTACATGTTTAAAATGACAGACGAGAAGAAAAGTGTAGGTATTCTTTGATGATTTTTCTTAACATGTAACAGTTCCCGATTTTTTTTACAATAAAGATATGTTGTTGTTTAATTAATTTTACATTATAGTATAAATAATGGCAATAATGCAATTATTCTGATAAAATTCGGAAAAATAACCGAACAACCAGTTAATCGGAATAACCGGTGCTTTATATCAGTTATAACCAGGCAGTTAAAACTGTTACTAAATCAACCGGTTAATGGAAAAACCGGTGTTTTAATAAAAATTGACATCCCTAGTCAAAATATTGACAGGTTCACATATTTTACGTCACTTAAAAATTAATGTCGACCAATTTAAGGCCGGGACCGCACTGGGGTCAATGTTGGCGCCAGTGCGGTCGCGGCCTTAGCGTATGTTGACATTTGTTAGTGACGTAAAATATGTCGACCTATCAAAATTGACTGATAAACACCAGTTTTTCATATACTCTCCACACAAAAAAATGCAAAAAAGTCCATCTTTCAACGCTCATATCTCAGAGACCGTAATACCTACAAGATTTCGTCCCATTTAAAGGTTGTTCAGAATTAAATCCTCTACAACATATCAAAAAATGGGCAAAATCCATAGAGCCCAAAAATCCCATATTAGGTGTGCGTTATCCTTTGTTTGATTACCACAAGACATTCAAATGAAGCGGAGCACACTGGCGTTTCTGAAACAGGAGAACAGAAATTGTTTCGCATACAAATTTCCTGAAACAGAATGTGCTCTGTTTCACGTTATTTGTTCCAGAAATTTATTCATGTCCACAACAAAATTACAGGACATCGCACGCGAAACTATAATGACTGTGTGCGCTCACATGAAGCAAAGATTCATGAAACTTACTTCACTTTACAAGTTCACTGAAACAGCAGATCAGAATTTCTTTCGCCAGTGTGCTCCGTCGCCTCCCCCTCATTTGAATGTAAGTACCTGGTGTCATGTGATAATGAAACAAATTTCCTGTTTCTTGCAACAAGTTTTATTAAACTTATTTCTGCAGTGAGTCACCTACCAGAAGTGACAAGGACGCAAAACAAGACGCTTCAAAAGAAATTAATAGAGAATGTAAAATTAAAAACGATGTACAATCGAGGAAAACAAAAATGCATAGATACTTACTCAATAATTAAATGTGAATAATTTTTTTAGATTTGTTACATTTGTTATGGCTCCATGTTCAGCTGGAGCAGTGCCCTTAGGTATAATTATTATTATTATTATTATTATTATTATTATTATTATTATTATTATTAACAACAAACAATACAATATCACACATATGGTACAGCTTTCTAAGCTACGCAGTAGCTTGTCGAAAGCCATCAACAATATTTTAATATAAATTTGATTTTGAAAGATAACAAACTTAAATATATTTAAATATAGATATAACTTCTTAACAATTATTATAAATAAAAATAAGATAAGTTCAAATATAATTTGGAGTGGCTATTTCTTTTTGTTTTTTTTTTTTTTTAAATTTTATAGTATGCAAATTTTACGTTTCATATTATTCCAGTTATTTTTTATCCACTCATTAACTTTTTTCATATAAACTTGACTTTTGGTTTTTATTTCGAGTGGCAGAATATTATAAATACGTGGACCTATGAAGCTTACATGTCGCTGAGTAGCGCTTAGACTTGACCCCGGAGTTACCATACTCTCAGAGGTAATTAATCGGGTTATTATGCCGTGACTTATATTATTTTTGTGTGTGTTAAATTTTTTCATATACCTTATAACACTGCTTACATAAATTTGTTTGATAGTCAAAAATCCAGAGTCTCTAAAAATTAAGTCAGTAGGGTGCCTTTTTGGCTTTTTATAAATAATTTTAATTAAGCACTTTTGTAAAATTTCAATGTTGTTAAGTACATTTGAATATGTACTACCCCATACAGTTATTCCATACCTCAAAACAGACTCCACTAATGACTGGTAAACTATTTTAATTAGTTTTAAGGGCATGAATTCTCGTAGTTGATAAAATTTGTAGATCGTTTTCCTGACTTTTTTAACGATGTAGTCAATATGAGAATCGTATTTCAAATTTGAGTCTATGTATACTCCCAGATACTTACAATTTGTTTGGGAGTTAATTGATGGCTGGCACGAGCATGAACATGTTTTCTGTAGGCATTCAAGGGTATGTATTTTTAGGGCTGGTAAATTCAATCTATTAACATTTTTAAGAGAAAAAGGAATATAAAGTGTTTTGTTTTCATTCAATGTCAAGCGGTTCTGGTCCATCCATAACTTAACAATAGATATGTAATGCTCCGACAACTCGTGCAGTTCTTTCCATGATGATTTTGCTTTAATTAATATTACACTGTCATCAGCAAAACATATACAGATACAATCATTAGCAGGTAATATTGACATTAAATCATTAAGGTAGACCAAAAAAAGCACAGGGCCAAGAACCGTTCCTTGAGGCACCCCAATATTTACTTCACCCTCCTCTCTAAGCTCACCATTTATTTTTACCTGTTGTATTCTATTTTTTAGGTAGGAATTAAATAAATCATGGGCTTTGCCTCTAACACCCAAGTTCCATAATTTTCGATGATGATGAATGTAAGGTAATGAGAATAACAATGCGCTTAAAAAGATGAAGAACAACCGCGCTCCAGGTGGAATACTGATTCAAGAAAAAAATTCAATGTGTTCATCGACAATCAAAATATCCCAGATGACTGGAACAACTCAATCATAATACTTTTACACAAGAAAGGGGATAAATCAGGTCTTGAGAATTACCGGCCCATTAGTTTATAGTCACTTGTATGAGCATAAATACTTGGGAATTATTGAGAAAACCGGACTAAACCAGACTTTTATTATCAGCTCACAGAGCAAGCTGGCTTTCGCTCTGGTTACTCACAAATAGTCACATTCCAATGCCTGAAAACCCTTATAGAAAAGACTGTACGGTACAATCGCCCCTTAATTCTAGTATTTGTTGACTTCCGTAAAGCGTTCGATACAGTGATAATAACAGCGCGTTTAAGAGGTTTACAAGAATGTATAGAATCATTAACCGGTATTACAATGTTGTCAAAGCTTTGTACTTGAAAGCATCAACAACGGCCACACTCTAGTACACGACCTACAAACTTAAGCTCGACCAAGGATGAGTCATGCAGGGCGATACACTGTCACCGAAATTGTTTATCGTCGGTTCTTGAGCAACAGGCTTTTGAATAATTAACCTGGCGACATTTTATAACGGTGTTGCAGTCGATGGAGGAAAACTGCATCACCTTTGGAGAAGTCAAAGTCATGTTTCGAGAGCTGCAGCAGGTCACATGAATATACAGGGTGTTGTTTCACGAACATCGAAACAAGGGCGTTTTGGGGTATTTTAAGGTCAATTTAAAAAAAATGCTCGGAAACGTCAATTTTGTATTCAAGGGGGAAACTTTTTGACCCTATCGGTATTTCGCTAGGGTGCACCTCCTGGGTGGGGTGACTTTCACCCCTCTTTTTTTTTAAAGTATTTTGATTCTCGTCACAACTTACTTTTTTTGAAAATCGAATGATTAGTTCTCAAGATATTTACTGTCAAAGTTGCCATAGGCTGAATAAGAAACACCCATCTTCCCAATCTAAAAAAGAGGGGTGAAAGTCACCCCACCCAGGGGGTGCACCCTAGCGAAATACCAATGGGGTCAAAAAGTATCCCCCTTGAATACAAAATTGACGTGTCCGAGCTTTTTTTTAAATCGACCTTAAAATTCCCCAAAACGCCTCTGTTTCGATGTTCGTGAAACACCTTGCCCAGTCAACCAAATAAAAATAAAAATATGTGTGTGGAAATGGGGGACAAATACCGCAGTCCCAAATCGAACCTGCACGAAATTTTGTCTATACTTTTAATAAAACATGGCCTACCATAGGATTAAAACTTCAAAAATTCAAGCATAATTGGGTTAAGACTAGTTCTCATGCAGCAGAAAATCGCCTGGCGGACGCGGAATTTCTAAAATTTGTCCCGCAGCGAAGAAATAATGTCAATTTTTTGCGATATAGCAAAAAAGTTGGACTATTTTTAACTTTTGCGCGAGTTTTTATCCTCCGTCGCTTTTTACTGCCACCTGTGAGATGTATGGTAGCTACGATATTTGATAAAAATCATTAAAACATAATGTGGAATACCCTCTAAATATAACTGAAATTCCGCATCCGGAATCTCGCTTCATGTGAACCGGCAATAATTACTTCTTGAACGGAAAGCGATATTCTGCACCCGCAACGCGATTTTCCGCTCCATGAGAACTAGGCTTTAGGCATCCATAATAAACTATCGGTTTTATTTTCCCTACCTTTCCATATGTCCACGCAAGACAACCTATAGCAGTTCTCAAAAAGTCTTTCCAAGTTTTGGTAGCGAGGTCCTTAAAAAATATATAGGTTCGGGTAGCTCCAGGATGATAAGTGTTAGACGTAACGCCGCTACCATATAATTTATTTGCAAACAGCTTCGACGCCATAGCGATACAGAGTTTGGAAGCTCCATATGTACCTCCAGCAATAACTGTATGCCAAACAGATTTGTATTCTTCTTTTGGATTTAGATGTTCCAGTGTCAAGTCACTTACGTAAGCAAGAATGGAGCTGGAGAAAATGATTCGACTGGGAGCTGACTTTTTCAAAAGATCTAAAAATATCAATCATTTTCAATGAGCTACGGGGTTAATCAATTTTGTGAGTAAATGCGGTCCTTACCAAGTAACAAATGCGTAAGAAGAAAATGTCCAAAATAATTAATTTGCATAGTTCCCTCCAGACCATCATCTGTGTAAGATATATTAATATTTCCTGTTCCAGCGTTATTGATCAATATATCCAACCTAACTTCATTTTCGTAAATATCCTTGACTAAATCTCTGACAGATTGCAATGATGCGAGGTCGAGATTTTTGCCAACAATATTGGGGTTTTTTGTTTGTTTGATTATTTGTTCCACTGACTTTTTTGTATTCACTACATCGGCTATAATAACTCGACACCCTCTGGAAGCCAATTCCAAAGCTGTTTGATAACCAATTCCTGAAATACTCCTATTATTAAAAAAAATGTATATAGGTAATACCTATGTAATAAAATAGTTGAGTAAAATTTCATTTAAGAGGAAATCGGCTATACATATAATAAATTAAACGCATTAACGCAGCAAAGTCAACAACGTGAACGAACAGTAAACAAAGACATAAGTAATTTGAGATGAAAGAAATAACATAATTTCTTTTGTGCGTGGTAAGTCGGGCCATGGTGGGATACCACGGGAAATGGCACACAATGAAAGGTTCGCTGACGGTTCAGGTTGTAACCTGCAGGGAAAACCGTCGCAGGGAGTTTATTCCACAGCGATGCTGTTCTCCAGAGATATGAATTCTGATTTAATGAGGTTCTTGGTGCCTCTAGTTTGACAGTAAATTCATGGTTACCGTCTGTTTGACGGGTTCGCCTGGTAGGTGCTACTCTCGGTGGAATCATAAGTGCCAACTCTTCAGAGCATTTTCCGTGATAGTACCTGTAGAAGAGAGATAAATCGCCCACAGATCTGCGATGTTCGAGACCATCCAAGTTACGAGTAAGTGCGGGGTCATTGATCAGCTTGATAGCCTGTTTTTGCACGGTATTCAAAAGCATTTAGGTATGTTTGGGTGCTGCACTCCATATATGTGAGCAGTACTCCATAGTTGGTCGAATCTGGGCTTTGTAGAGTGTCAGCAATTGGCTTGGTGTGTACAGATGTCTTGTACGAAATAGCACCCCCAGCTTTTGGGAGGCCCTTTTAGCAATATCTGCCACGTGACTGTGCCAAGACATGTTGGTCTCTGCAGTAACCCCCAAGATGTTCAACTGACTCTGTAATGTGACAGCACTTCCAGATAGCATGATGTTTGTCTCACCGGTGCTGGTCTTTTTTGAAAACAGAGCTGCTTGGGTTTTCTGCGCGTTGAACTGTACAAGGTTTTTGTTACCCCAGTCCTCTATTATCTCCAGGTCGTTATTTATCTGCGATATTTGAGTTAGTCTAAGATGATGGAATTCACGTGCGGAAAGACCTGTGGGTGGTATGAGTGAGGAGACTACATTGCCATCGTCTGCAAAGCAATAAAGTGGATTTACTGTTTTATCTATGAGTTCATTTATGTAAATCAGGAAAAGAGTTGGCGAAAGGATTGCTCCCTGTGGCACACCAGCATTTATTTGGTAAGAGTTGGAGTTCTGGCCATCCAGTGCAACATAAATGGATCTGTCCTTTAGGTAACTTTCAAACCAAGTGCAAAGTTTCGGCGATAATCCCATTGCTTTGAGCTTGTTGAGCAGATTTTTATGCCAAACTTTGTCGAATGCTTTAGATATATCTAAGGCAATTGTTCTTGTTTCACCCCGCAACTCAATCGCTTTTTGCCATAAGTGAGTGACGTATGTAAGTAAATCGCCAGTTGACCTATATTTTCGAAATCCGTATTGCTTATCGTTGATAATTTTGTACTTTTCCAAGTACTTGGTTAGGTGATTGTTCACAACTCTTTCCATTACTTTTGATATCACCGGAAGTAGAGCAATTGGTCTATAGTTTAACGGATCTGTCTTTTTTCCTTTCTTTGGAATGGGTTGTACTGCGGCAGACTTCCATGATGATGGATATACTCCTTGCCTGTAAGACAAATTGAATAATTTTGCGAAAGTTGGGGTGAGTTCGTTGGCGCAATTTTTGAGTACTATTGCGGGAATGCCATCCGGACCCATTGCTTTGTTTGTATCCAGCTTTTTTAGGGATTTTCGTATTTCTCTGTGACAAAAGGGTACCCCTGGCATACTATGGGAAACCCTTTCAATGAACGGTGGAGTTTTTCCGTTTGGCACTGTTAGGTTGGAGTTGGAGGAAAACATTTGGGCAAGCATATTGGCTTTTTCCTCTGATGTTGTGGCTAAGTGATTATTTTTATCTGTAAGTGGTGGTATGGATGACTTGGTGAAGTTAGATCCAACAGCTTTTGCAAGAGACCAAAAAGACCTAGAACTACTTGGACAATTCAGCAACCTGTTTTTTATTCTTTGATTGTATGTTTCTTTAGCGGAGTCAATAGTAATTTTGCAACTATTTCTGGCTTCTATAAATTCTGTGTGGTTTTGAGCGGTTTGTTGTCGTTTCCAAAGGTTATATGCTCTGTGTTTTTTCTGTACAGCCGTTTGACACTGGCTGTTGAACCAAGGTTTTGCATTAGCTCCACGTTTAGTTGTATGTGGGATATATGCGTCCATTCCAGATAAGATTACTTGTGTTATTTCATTACAGCAAATAGTGGGATCAGCTGTTTTAAAGCAAACCTCTTGCCATGGAAAATCCAGGTAATACTGTTTTAGGTCATTCCATTTTGCCGATTTATAGTGCCACATTTTACGAGGAAGTGGTTGGTTTGGTTGGTGGACTTTATGGGTATAGCAAATGCTTTTGCACTGTATTTTGAATCTGTTTTTGCGGAGGGCAACAACCAAATTTCCAATTGCCTGACTCAAGCTGACCACACACTTTTCAATTTTTCCTGCATTTCGGATCATGACATTCTTCACAGTATCAAATCTTTAAAAAATCAAAAAGATCAACTGGGCCTAATGGCATACCATCCTATATTTGAAAGAAATGCGCCGAATTCTTCTTATACCCATTAAAATTCATATTTAATTTAGCATTGAAACAGAGCTGCTTTCCTGATATTCCTAAAACGGCAGTTATTTCGCCCATTTTCAAGAATGGCAACAGGGAGGATATAAGGAATTACCGGCCAATAAGCTTACTGAATAGTCTAAGTAAGATATTTGAAAAAACTCTGTACAAGGACCTTTTGTGTCATATTTATAATAATATATGGCAACTTCAACACGGGTTCCTGGAGGACAGATCTACAGTTACCAACCTATGTTGTTTCTCAGAATGTGTGTCTGAAGCCATCACTAATAAGAAACAACTAGATGTTATATACACTGACTGTTAAAAGGCATTTGATAAGGTAGACCACAGCATATTGCTGAGCAAGTTGGCTAATCTTGGTCTCTCTTCTAAAGCCTGTAGCTTTTTATGGTCATATTTGTCACAACGCCAACAGTCTGTCAAGGTTGGACATGCTTTTCTGGTCAATTTGTTTCTATGTCGGGAGTTTCCCAAGGAAGCGACTTGGGTTCCCTGTTTTTTTATAATACATATTTATGAATGATCTACCTGAATGCTTAAGTCATCCTATAGTTTGCTGTATGCTGTTGATTTTAAGATTTTAAAAACGGTTTCTTCGGTTAATTGTATTGTTGAAGATTACTTTGTGGGCGATGTTAAATTGGTTAGAAAAAATGAAATTAATGACCTAGGCGTTATTTTTCAGGATACTTTCAGATTTATTAACCATTATAGGTATGTCTATTATTAATAAAGCCTACAAAGCATTAGGCTTTGTTATACGTACCACAAAAAAATTTTATAGTGAAACTATTATAATCTTGTATAATTCTCTGGTGAGACCACATTTGGAATATGCTAGTAATATTTGGAATCCAACAACTGCAGTAAGCACCAATGAAATAGAAAAGTTCAAAAACGTTTCTTACGATTTCTTTACGTTAAGAAAAATAATGTTTATTCATACATGGTCTCATACAGATCCATGCTTGATGATTTCGCAATATGGTTAGCCTATCTACTCGAAGGAAAACACAGGCTGTCATGTTCATTTACTATATTTTAAACAATTTGAAATACAAGAGCTGTGATCTTACTAATTCGATTGAGTGTGCCAAAAATACAAGAATATCAAATAGGGAACCATTTTATGTCGATTAATTTAGTCATTCACCAATAAACCATATGCTTTCAGTGTGCAACGAGGTGCTGATGAGCAGTTCAGATCTGAATATTTTTAATGTTAGCATCAATCAGCTGAGAAAACTTCTATGCTTCATCAAAAATTAGTCTGTAGAAATTATGTTCGTCTTTTTATTGTCATTGCTTTTGCTTTCATTATTATTAAGTACCTACCTACTTTTAAGTCGTATTTTTACGCCCTAGCCATCATATCTGTTTATTGTCTATGTTCACTGTTTTATTTTTCTATGTTGTCTGTCTGATTTTATCCTATTTTATTTTGTTTTATTTTATATTTTATTTTGTATTTTTAAAGTAAGTGTACATTAAGACCTATATTGTTGTTATTGAGCCTTTGGCTATCTGCGAACCTTTACATGTAATTACCTACCTCAGGTGTTTGGTAGGTGAATCAAATAAATAAGTAAATAAATAAATAAATAAACTAACAAAATTTGTATTTATCCGTAAGAGCAATTCACTTCTCGTTGATACATGTAATCAAAATAGCTCAATTTTGAAAATAAGTGTCCATCTCTCAACTTTTCAACATTAGGCGGGAATCCAATACAGCCGATTTCCCCACTTGACTAATGACTGCCGATGGAACTAAAGCAGCAAGATCATTTGAGAGAAAAATATATTACCAAATACTTGGTTTTGATAACAAAATATTTCCCAACCAGCGGAATATTATTAAATAATAATAATTGAACAAAAAAAAAAACTATAGGTAGGTAGATATAACTTGGTGTCGATACATTTTTTCGCTAATAATTAATTTATTAGCAAAAAGAATTATACTCGTATATAGATTTTATACCAGGTTGAGGTTGAAAGCTGAATGCCGTGTAGTAAAAAATAATTAATATACGTTGAAATATAACATGTGCCTACCTACTTTCTTTTTCCACCAACTTCACATCCGCGTGATCATTTATTTCTTTCAAGTAGGTAGGTACCTAATATTATAAATTGAAGAAAGCAATTTTTCTTACCTGTAGCTCCACCAGTAATAATAGCCACCTTTCCCACTAAACATACTTTGCTTCTACACCAAAAACACGTAAACTTATTAACTGCCATAAATAAAATATTCAAAATCACAATAATCGTGGCGATATAAACAATTTGCTGCATTATCGATTGCTATCTACTCACATCGACAACAAATACAACAATGTTAATAAATTTTTTTCCAATTAAGTTATACCTATAAACTAAACGAACACGATGGAAATTTGTTGTACATTATATAGTTTTATTTATTATTGTTTTTGCTAAATTTAATGGTAAAAACCTGTCGTTAGCGAATTGGAGTGGTTGTAGACTAAAGTAGTTTACAAAGTAAAAAATTTCAGAATCATTCTACGAGTAATTAACATTTAACATTTAATAAAAATGTTATGACATTTATATGTCATTTTAATAAGTATTTCGGAACCGGAAAAAAATAATTGCTAACCCTTGAGATATAGGTAGGTAATACTGAAACTTTGTTATTGTAGGCTCAGGCGGAAAGTCTGGAATTTTAGACATCTATTGGACCTCAGATTTTCGTAGAAAGTCGTATTTAGGGTATATACACCATAAACCATCGTCACCGTTATAACATAACGTTACTACTTATCGTTAAGAATGTGTATTAGAAAGGAATACTTACTTAATAGTATTGGGACAATATATTTCAATGTGTTTAAAACTTGTTTATTCAAACAAGATTCAAACACCAAGGTTGCCTATTCTTAAAGTTCGCAGTAGTTTTCGCAAAAACGCAAAAGTACTATGTCTTTAGCTGTTGTTGCGAATAGCAGTAAGTTTCTCACCAATATTAATATTATGAGATGCAAAAGTACAGTGCACAGGCCACATGCCACTATTTCATTCATAAAAGTGTTGCGAAAGAAAGCGGTAGGTAGGTAGGTACCTAACTTATTTCTATTATTTTTTTTTTTCAGCCAGTTAAAAATTTTGCAGTGAGAGTGATATTTTGATCACACAGGATGATCAATGAACATATAAAAATGTGAAGTTTTGACGTGTGGCGTTTTAGCAACGATTTTGTTCACAAAGTTACAGCGCAAGAGGTCACTGCAAATGAACGGGAGGACTATCTCAAAATCGCTTACTTTGAGACTTTTTTGAAATGTCGATATGACTTTTGGGTCACTACTGTCAATTTTAATGCTAGTTATCGTCTATCTTCTGTGAATTCTCCTAATTTATGTCAAGAATATTACCTTTTGTATGATTTTTTCAAAAAAAAAACAATTTTTTCCTAGAAAACTTTCTATGGGTCACCAATGACCCGGTTCTGGGATAAATCGGTATACGCTAAAACCCTCCAACTCGACAAGTCGTAGAAAGCTTTTTTACGTCTATTCGGAATTTCTAGCTTTGTCCTTCAGTTTCCTAGGTACCGTTTCAATTTTACCCTTTTTTGATAATACTGTCACAACCTCTCTGCTCTCCGTCACGGGGGGTGTAGGGAGTATAGATGGAGGGAAACTCGCTCAGTTTATTATAAAAATATGTATATTTTCTATGAAGTCATTACGTCATGAATCCTCCAGGATGCATGCTCTCCCGTGGAAAGGGCCACACGTTTGACGCTACTTAGGAAGGAATGTCGGTTTAATGCCAATGTTACGTTGAATGCTAATCGTCATTTAACTGATCCCCATCTAGAAGGGCTTTCCCAGGGTGGCGGTACTTGCACTAGATGACGATACAGTTTCCCAGAGGGGCTTTACTTGCACTGTGGAGACTTGACTAACACTACTGGTTCAAGTCTGTCTGTTGCTAGGCTTGGCCCACTATTTACATGAATTAATTGCTGAATTGCAATAAACATCCGATCGAATGGACAAATGAATTAATAAAGTTGAATACCGGGTCCTCCTTTCCTAAGTAGCTAGTTAACATATGCCCCCCCCCCCCCCCCTACATGAAGCATTGGACCCCCCAATACTTGGAAGAGACATAAAGAATAAATAGACTGAAATACAATAATATCCTAATCCTAAAATATCCCTTTTTTACCATAATACAATAATATCCTAATTATAAAATATCCCAGCTTAACCATTATATAGGTAATCCAAATATCGAGTATAATAAAAAATTAAAAATTAAAATTAACAAAAGTTTTTTATGGTCGGATGGGTCAGGGTGCATTATTATTTAGGTTACTACAAAAAATATCTTATACCTTATACCTAAAAAATTTCATCAACTTCACAGCTTCAGCCATGGGTTTTTTTCTTTCGGTCCGGTCCTGTATTCTGTATTATGAGTTTGTTCTGGTTCCAAGTACTTCCTGATGGGTCAGCTAGATCGTGAGGTGTACGGTCCCACGGTCTGTGTCGTTGCTTCGGTTCCTGGTTTGTTCTGCTTCTTGTTTATTGTCCTGTATTCTGTCTTTCAAGCGGATTGGTTCTGGTTCTAAGCACTTCCTGGTGGGTCTGCTAGATCGTGGGATGATCGGTCCCACGGTCTAAGTGTCGTTGCCTGGTTTGTTATGCTTCTTGTTCATTGATGCAAACATCAGCCCCTACTTAGTTCAGAGCTGTCGCAAGGTAGCAGTTATCTTTCCAGTTCTGGTTTCGGCTTTGCTATGTCCTTCCCTGGTTGAATTTTTGTGAATACATGCAAAAAGGTAAATGTTTATTATGAAAAAATGCTTATTCCTATAATAAGTTTAATTATGTCCCACATTCGGGCCACCAAATTTCATCATTTGCTTATTTGTTGATCATGGCTCCAACCGGTAAGTTTAGTCCAACTTGTTTTTTGTATACCCATAAGTAGCCTTCTTTTTGTAACTCGCACTTTTTTTGTGATCCCTATTCGGCGGCTTTTACGGAGGAAATGCCCAGCCCGAGGCCCAGCCCTTCCGTCGGTAAGAGTGTTTCTGATTCATTTTCTTTTATAGTAATTCATATTCTCACTCTTCCCTTAGAATTATGAGGCCATCCATTAATTTCCTCCTATATTGAGCTATCGTTCCTCTCCATCCCTCCTTGTATACTCTATTTTTTATTCTATCTCTACTTCCTATTGCCCTACTTCGTAGTTTTGCTTATGTTTTATCTGTACAATCAGTCTTCTTCTACCTCGTTTTCTGCTTCACTGCTACCATTTTCCTCTTCAATTTTTTCTTCGTTGTCTCCATCCTCTGTTTCTCCATCAACTTCAGATTCTGCGTCTTCAGCAATATCTGCCTCCTCTACCCTTTCTTCAATAGGCGGAGCTTCCGTCTATGGATAATAGTAGGATGAGATCCTACTCACGTGGACCGTATCCTTCTTTCTCCTTCCAATCTTTTCTGCCTCGTAATTCACTTCTCCCATTTTTCTAATTACTTTGTATGGTCCAAACCATCTTGAGAGTAACTTTACGCTTCTTCCAACCTTTCTAATTGGTATGAACACCTTAACTCTGTCTCCAACTACGAAATCTAATTCTCTATCTCGTTCGTCAAAAGGTCCCTTATCTTTTCCTTGTCTTTTTCATATATTTTCTACTGCTATGACTTTGCAAGAGTGCCTGTGGGCGCTGGCTTGCTTCAAAGGCGCCTAACTGCGTCGGTTCTTGGGCGTCAGGTTCGAGACGGCGCCTCCACCAAATGTCACAACCTTCTGTGATGGGGGGGTGTAGGGTGGATAAATGGAGAGAAACTCGCTCAGTTTATTATAAAAATATGTATATTTGCTATGAAGGCATTACGTCATGAATCCTACAGGATGCATGCTCTCCCATGGAAAAAGCCACACGTTTGACGCTACTTAGGAAGGAATGTCGGTTTAATGCTAATGTTACATTGAATGCTAATCGTCGTTTAACTGATCCTCATCTAGAGGGGCTTTCACAGGGTGGCGGTACTTGCACTAGATGACGATACTGTTTCCCATAGGGACTTTCCCAGGTTGGCGGTACTTGCACTGGGGAGACTTGACTCCAGAGGGGTGTTCCCAGGGTGGCGGTACTAACACTGGTTCAAGTCTGTCTGTTGCTCGGCTTGGCCCATTGTTTATATGAATTTATTGCTGAATTGCAATAAACATCCGAATCAGCAATTAAATTAATAAGGTTGAATACCGAGTCCTCCTTGTTGACGATACCGTCGTTAATATGGAAAGGAAATATTGGAATAAAAAAAAAGTAACATTTCAATTCGAGTCTAATCATCATATAAACTTTTGACAACAATTCTTGCATTGACTTTTGATTTTGGTTTCCATTCTCCTTTTTTTCTAGAAGGAAATGACTTAGGACTATTATTATAAGAAGGTTTAAAACTATTAGAAAATGTGGTGGTGTCAGTCAATTTTCTTCTAGGTACATGTCTTAAAGAATAATTCCAGTCGCCAGTTTCTTTCATGTCCAGTAGGATTGCCACACATTGATTGATTGTGAGACTTTTTCCAGAACCTGATCCCCATTGCAGATATCTATCTAAGGGGAATTTTTTCATAGTTATATTTTCTCGTTTGGCTTTTGCTAATGAAAGGGGTGCCTGATTTACCTGGAATAAAAAGGATTTTTTCAAATATGCATTATCAGATACTCACACATCAAAAACTCGTGTCAACTTGTATAATATAATTTTAAATTACTTTTTCGTTTATTGCCCCAAAGTTTTGTCTGTCTTTTATCTGCAGTTGTTGTTGTTGTAATGCAAACAAACAAACTAAAAGAAGTCCAAAGCTTTTTATACAAAACAGCCATGAAATACTGGGAGGCAGGGCCTAAAATTGGACAGGAAGTGATATTTGATGGTTCTGCCAAACGTAACTTCAAATCAAGAGATTATTTAGATTTAAATTATCCTGGTCATTGTGATCCCATAGAATGTAAGTCCATTCCAAAGATTTGACATTTGTGGGGATATTTATGTCTTCTACATGCATTTTGGATGAACGTAGGAGAATAAGTAATGTTTGCTAACGTTTTGAGTGCTTTTAAAATTTGTGCAAAACCAAATTGAAGATGACCAATAGAATTTCATATTACCAACAAAAACAGGGAACATCTTTTGAAAGGTGAGCATTTCTAGGCTAAATTGTCTTTTGGCTTGGTCTAGTTTAGAAAGTTCATTGACCATGACCAAGAAAATTTTTGGTGTCTTAGTATATTATAAAGATTTTGGTTTGGTAGCATGAGTTAAAAAAAAAATCCGGAAAAATCGTCAATGCTCTATAACTAAATTAATGAGTGAAATTAATTTTTTTTTAAATGGATTTTGACAATACAATTACTTTACCTTATCAACAATGGCTCCAACTATATAAATAGCATCATGATCAAAGCTCTCCATTTCTTCTCGACAATGAGGTGTTAGATACACCAACTTCTCTTTAGGAAATAGATCTAAATAACTTTTTTCATGTGCATTCATAGGAAACTCCTTATCAAACATTGTAGGAACATATTTATGGAACATTTTTGTGAGGTCACTGTCCTTGTTTATATTAACATAATGAATATCAAATGGATCTAAAAGCAAAGAACTTAGTTTATTTTTCATTCTGCAAAAACGCAATTTCTGACAATGAATGCATATTAAATTTGAATAAGATGATATTATACAGTGTGCTTCAAAAGTTTGGGAACGGTTCAATATTTCCGGAGCGGCTTGAAATAGAATTACGAAATTTTCTGCATTTGGGTAATTAATGATGCCCAATTCAATGATGACAACGACAATGTTGCCAAGTTTACCGGTTTCCAGATAATGTAGGTAACTTCGCTTTTTTAAATAGGAATACCACTTTATTTTCATTGCAATAAATTTGTCGCCCTATTGTTAGTGAAACCTCCAGGGTCCTTATTCTTGAAACAGGGGAGCAGCGTTCCCAGGAGAACGAGAGTTCCGTCTTTCTCAATGACATGCAACTAATAATATAAGTAACAAAGACAGAACACTCGTTCTCCTGGGAACGCTGCTCTCCTGTTTCAAGAATAAGGACCCAGATATTATATCCCTATTTCACGAGGTTTCTGGAACATGGCAACACAACCTTTTCGTTCAAAGGTCTGACAATGGTCAAATAATTTCCACAAAGGCTTAAAATTATGATTACTCATACTCATACTCATACTCAATATGCTTTATTGTCCAAAAAATATAAATTTTTACTGACAAAGCGGATAACATAATATACTAATCTATATACTAATCTACATTAATAGATACACGAATCACACAAAATCACCAAAGAATGACTAATTAAAGTGTAATAAATAAGTAAATTGAAATAATATAAAAGAAACAAATCAACACACAAAACATAAAAAATTGTAAATATGTGTATATAGGTCTATAAAAAATAAAAAAAACAAGACAATCATAAAACATCACTTTAATATTCCTCAAAGCTGTAGAAGGCTTTCTCCAATAACATACTCTTAGCATTCGTTCGAAATTGGGTATATAGCCCGATACTGATTTCAAATCATTACTGAGGTGAAATTTTTTTGCTTTCAAAGAATATATAATGTTTAGTCAGAGCAGACTTTGGAATTGGTAAACGTTAGTTATTATTATTGTGTGTCTTGGTATTGTACCTTACCTCCTCAGGTTCCAGACCAGAATATTTTTTATATATGAGACAGATAGTTTCTAAAATGAACAAAGATGGCACAGTTAATACATATTTTTTCTTTTTCAAACAAAGGCTGACAGTGTGCACGGTTTTTGGCTCTACGCAAATACCGCACTGCCCTTTTTGCAGTACGAATATAGAATTTAGCAACTGCCCGTTTGTGAATTCCCAAAGAGCAATACCATACCGTAAATGAGACTCGAACAAGGAGAAATACACCATTTTAGCCGCCGAAGTACTAAGCTCATTACATACAACCCTTATTGCAAAGCAACCAGCTGCCAACCTGTTACTTAATTGATTAATATGTTCGTGAAACTTTAATCTATCGTCCAACATAAACCCCAAGAATTTTACAGTGGATTTACTTGCAATAGACCGATTCATAAGGTTCAGATTTGCAAAGTCAAAACCAAAGGTCATAATTTTTGTTTTGGACATATTAAAACAAAGTAGGTTTGTATCACACCAAACCTTTAGCTCATTGTTATCAATCATTATTCCTAAGTTTTCTTTACTCTTGTCATGCCACACAAGACTGGGTGTGATCCACAAATAGAGTGAATGAACCTTGAATATCTAAGAAAGCCAAATCGTTCAGGTACATGTACAAATTTTAGCGAAAATAGTGTTAGGTATCACATAATTTCAACTGACAGGTCTGATCATGAAGCGTTACTGGCATCTTTTCCCTTACTTGAAAAAACTAAAAAACTGCCTGAAAAATTTGGATGTATATCCTCCAAAAGAAATTATGCATTATTTACTGACAATTTGAACTGTGTTAACTGGGAAAGTGTCCTACTTTCGGATGAACCCATGGATGTGTTCCACTCGCTTTTGTATAATATTTTTAATTTGACTTTTCCAATTCGTAAAATGAGACCTAGAAAACCCAAGAAATCATGGTTAACAAGGGGTATAAGGACATCATCAAAAAATTTGAGAGTCCTGCACAAAATTAGTAAGTTTAGTAACAACGAAAACATCATTCAATACTATAAGAAATATAGATGCATCTACAAACAAATCATACAAGCAGCTAAACGTTTATTTTATAGTTCATTATAGTTCAAGAATTTCTCTCTCAAAAAATAAGGCAAAAGAAACATGGTCAATAATTAACGAGCTGAGAGGTAGAAAGGGCCAGTCCGAACAATTAGCACAAATAGATTCAAATGTTCTGAACGAATTTTACTGCTCAATCGCAAAAAAACTTACTTCTAATTTAAACTCTAAAATTGATCCCTTGTCATATCTATCGGAATTACATGTGGAGGAAACCTTTGTATTTGATTACACAAACTCGGAGGAGCTAAAAAATGTTATCAATGAAATAAAGAGCAGATCATGTGGACTTGATGAAATGTCCATAAAAATTTTTCAAAACCTTAATGGAAATGTTCTTGGTTGTTTAGCCCAAGCAATCAACCAATGTTTTGATTCAGGAAAGTTTCCTGGCATATTGAAAACGGCGGTAGTGATCCCATTGCGCAAAACGGGATCATACGCGGAGCCATCAAATTTTAGACCAATTTCACTTTTGCCCACACTATCGAAAATTTTTGAAAAAATTATTAAAAAAAGAATGCTACAGTTTTTAAGTAGAAAGAACCTGTTGAGTGCTTGTCAATATGGCTTTCAGAGTTCGAAAGGTACGAATGATGCAATTTTCGCCTTCTTAGAGAACATTTATTTTAAATTAAATAACAAAGAATTTGCAGCTGCCGTTTTCATTGACTTTTCAAAGGCATTTGATTGTGTTAATCATGGATTGCTCTTGAATAAGCTACAAATATATGGATTTAGAGAAAAATCTTTTTTAATTTTTAAATCTTACTTGGACGAAAGATACCAAATGGTTAAAAATGGAGAGTCATCATCGACTCTAATGCCGGTAGATACTGGGGTCCCACAGGGGTCTGTATTTGGGCCAATTTTTTTTTAAATATATCTTGAAGATCTGTTGAAGTTAGTGATTGATGGTGCTTTTACGACTTTTGCCGATAACAATACAATTACTTGGAGTCATAAGCATTTGCAAGTTTTAAAGCAAATGGTTGCTGATTTGGAGAAAATTAAATTATGGTGCGACTCTAACTTTCTGTGTTTCAATATTGACAAAACTGAGGTCTTACGTTTTAAATTCGATTTTGTTGACCTTCAATTGGCTCAACAGTCAATATCACAAAGTGAAAATACAAAATTTTTAGGAATTCATATTGACAACAAACTAAAGTTTACAACTCATATCGAGAACTTGAACAAAAAAGTTGCAATGGGCAGTTACGCAATTAGACTAACCTTCTGGGAATTGGGTACACAAATGGCTAAAACAACATATTACGCCTTAGTCGAATCGCATTTGCGCTATGGTGTAGCTTTCTGGGGAAATTGTTGCCAACATTTATTTGAATCCGTTTTTATTATGCAAAAGCGGTGTGTGAGATATCTATGTGGGCCGGATTTAGGGACCACTGTAAGCCTCTCTTCAAAAAAGAGAGGATTTTGACATTGTCTGGATTGTTCATATTGGAAACTGTGAGCTTAATTTTCAAAAAATATAAAGATGTCACTCATGCTCATTTTTATCAAACCAGAAATCACAATGATATTCCTCTTCCTATTCCTAGTTCCAGCCTTACACAAAACTCCATTATTTATAGAAGTGTAAAAATCTTTAATAAGCTACCACCAGAATTTAAATCTGTTGATAATTTTAAAAAATTTAGAAGAAAAGTAAGGGATTGGTTGACTGATAGGGCTAACTACTCTATAAATGAATATCTTTGTGATCATGATTAATTTAAAATTTTACTGTCTGCCAAAAAGACACACATTATTGTTCCTTGAGTCTGATTTGCGCTTTAAATTTTATATATTTCTATTTATTTTAAGTTTTATTTATTTTTTATTTTTTATTTTAAATTCTTTGTGTGTGTAACAACTGTGAACGTTTTTAGGTATTTTAATCAACAACTAAGTGTAATCAGTGTGTATAATTTTTATTGTAATGTATTTTTATTTTTTTAACTTTACCATGCCAAACGATGTTCCTATTTTGTTTTTTTGTCCCTTTGAAGATGTTTGGATGGTAATTTCATTGTTTTTCGGTTTTATCTGTATAACTCTATATACAGTGTCATTACTTAAGTGTGCAACATATGGGATTTTTTTTTAGTAATAGCACAATCAAAATACAAACAAGGCCAGAAGTTGGTGCATGTCTGATAATCATATAATGTGGACTTAGAATGGTTGCAAGTCAAACAGCATACAGGGTGGCTCAAAAAATATCAAAATTCTACTAATACTTACTTAAATAAAATAAAACTTTTGCACTTTAAGGAGAGTTTTTTTTATATGGCTATTATAATTAGTAATGTTTTAACTTGTTAAAAAAAAAACATTGCGACATTTTAAAGTTGTGTTGAATATCATTGCAACAAACATTAATTTTGTGATTCCATAAAAAATTAAAAATCCAAGTTAATTTTACAAATATCCTTGAATTTGAAAAAAGTAATGTAAAATTGATTTGATTTCAATTAATTTTTGAAAGTATCAAGGGCGGAAATGAAAAATAAAAAAAATATAGAAATTATAGATTTTTTTCGAAAGAAAATTAAAAAAAATCTTAGGAGGCTATGTTTTGGTATTTAGGCATAAATTTCAATTCCAAACAACTTTTCTCTATAACATTTTGCTGAATTTTCTAAAATAAGGGTACTTCACACTACAGCTTTGATATTGTTTGAGCTACCCTGTATGCTGTTTGACTTGCAACCATTCTAAGTGCACCTAATATGATTATCAGACATGCACCAACTTTTGGCCTTGTTAGTATTTGGGTTGTGCTATTATTAAAAAAAATCCCCATATGTTGCACACTTGAAAAATCACACTGTATACCTACCTCGTTTAATGTTATGCTATTTTTATTTTAAAAGTTTAGGTTATGGAATTACTGGCTTTGTCAATGGATTTATTTTTTTACGACAATAAAGCATATTTTGATTTGATTTTTGATTTAGGTACATCAAAAACAAAATTGGTCCCAGCACTGGAGTTGCTAGAATACACCACGTCCACCTTTACGATTTGTTTTCTTTCAGAGAGATAGGATGAAAACCGTTCCACTGCAATGCCACCAAAGCCATAATGAAGAAGCTTTCGCAGCAACACTCCATGATCCACGCAATCGAAAGCTTTCGAAAAATCACAGAATGTTGCGGCGACAGTCTCCCCGCCATTTATATTTAGATAAATACTGTGGAGCAACGAAAATTGAATCGGGCATCAATAATTACTCCTCTGCAGAAAATTTCGTAATTCTATTTTAAGCCGCTCTGGAAATATTTGACCGTTCCCAAACTTTTTAATCATACTGTATAAGGCCTTACCGTCATTATATCGGTTATCAGCAAATAATAACATAAGCTGTTTGGCAGTATACTGATTTTCCCTCCTTGTCATGTTTTGGTCATAACCACAATCAATTACCAATTTTTGACCAAACTGTATCGCCTGAATTAGTCTATTGTTATAGAAATTATTCATAGTGGAATCATTAAATCTTATAAAAATATTATTGAATAAAAGACCATATTTTAGGGCATGTTCTTCTATTGGTAGGCTTTTTGGTGACAATTCCTTATTGGCCAGATGTTCTTCAAATGTTTTACGTTTCTCAAGTTTCTTGACCTGAAAAAAAAAAAAAAATGATTTTGGGAAAATTACTGTAGTAGCCACCAATTAATTTGAGCAAATACATATAAAGAGACCACACATTATATATCAATCTTGACACAAACCAGCTTATTATGTTTTTTCTTCGATGTTCTGAAAAGGAAGTCCAAATATTTAGTTCTCCCACTTCTTGAAGGCAATTTCAGCATATTTTCCCATATTTCTGCTGTCATGTATTCATTTGATGGCACGGACTTACCATCCTGGCGTAACACTTCAGTCTCAAGAATAATTACTTTTAATTTGTGTTCTAGTTCCTTATCACCCTTAGTAATTGCTTCTATGTCAGCCTGAGAGATGCATGAAGTTTTATTCTCATCTAAAATAGAATTGATAATGGTAACTTTTGGTATAATCTGGGTTGCAAATTGGAAGGATTCAAAAAAATTATTACTAAAACTCACTTGCCAAACTCCATCCATTTTGAATGTGCTTGAATTCTTCAAGTTCAGCAGCCGGATTCTATTTTAAAAGTCGAAACTCGTATCCAATTGTCAAAATAGCGATTCTATTTTTCGATTTTTCGATACGTATTAGTCGGTACGTCCGGAGCTGTCCTATTCGATATCGAGTGTCATAACACACATTTGACTCAACTTGTAAAATAGAATCCGGCTGCAGGATTGCTTAAATTTTTGATTCACCAAGCAATTGGAGCAGCACTTTTGATAAAGAGCTGTTAGGAATGGGAAACCCTCAGGGAAAACCAAAAACCACTGGGATATTTTATTGAAAAATTTTGTTGGTATTTCTCCCATTACGTGTTTTGTCTTTTTGAATGCTACCGAGATATAAAGGGATTTTGGTTGAGGTAACCCATACATATTATTGCAATTTGAGTAAATGAGCTTTTATTTTTAAAAATTAGAATATTGTATCTTCCAAAGCTGGTCTTAAGTATTTCTGCATAGTGTAGGTGTTTGGGACTTACGTTTTATCGTATTGTAATTTTGGGTAATTTAAACGCAACTTGTATATATGTCTTAAATTTGAAGTGTAAATTTCAATTATTAATTACGCGTGAGAATGGCATTTCGATGGACTTTCACGCGGTACCGTAAAAGAGAGTAAAAGAGTGCGCTCTTGATTAAAGAAGGACAGAGATTGAGTAGCCGCTACTGCGCTGGCAGTACGGTTCCAACAATGAGTAACAGATAGCATGATGGCGCCTCCAGGATCAAAATATTCCGGAGGTAAAATACCCGAACACTCCGATCTCCGGGCGTCGGGTGATCCTGGGGGTCCTTCATGCAAAGATATAAAGAGAAGATCAAAAACTCAACTCAGAATTGATTTTAGCAATATAAGAGGAATAAGGACAAATATGAATTCAGTTCACCAACATCTTGAAGAACAAAGACCTGACATCCTTGTTCTCACTGAAACTAAAATCAGTTCTGCAACACCTATTGTGAATTATCTTTATCCCGGCTATGACCTACACCACCGATTTCGACATAATTTTGACATCTGTGTGTACATTAAAAATTACCTTTCATGTCATCGAGAGGAGAAGCTAGAACCAGCGAACCTTGATATCATATGGCTAAAATTCACCTCAAAGTCATCGACCAAGTTTATCTGCTGCCTCTACCGACCGCCATCTAACACCGAGTACCAAAACTTTTTCGCGACATTATCCGAAAGCTGTGATAGTATACAGTCAAACTATCCACAGGCGGAAATTGTCTTTTTAGGCGATTTCAACGTCCACAATATACCCTGGCTGAAACACCACAACAAAACAGATAACGAAGGCAGAGAAGCAGAAGCTTTTGCCATAAGTTGTGGTCTTACGCAGCTTGTCGATGAACCTACCCGTATCTCAGAAAGGGGCGAATTTGCAGCGCTTTTAGACTTGTTCCTAACCACCAATCCTGACTCGTACACAATTCAAGTAGATGCTCCACTTGGTTCGTCCGATCATAAACTTATAATAACAAAGTGCGAAATGCTCATCCCACCAAGCCTACAACCACTTCCTCGTAAAATGTGGCACTATAAATCGGCAAAATGGAATGACCTAAAACAGTATTACCTGGATTTTCCATGGCAAGAGGTTTGCTTTAAAACAGCTGATCCCACTATTTGCTGTAATGAAATAACACAAGTAATCTTATCTGGAATGGACGCATATATCCCACATACAACTAAACGTAGAGCTAATGCAAAACCTTGGTTCAACAGCCAGTGTCAATCGGCTGCACAGAAAAAACACAGAGCATATAACCTTTGGAAACGACAACAAACCGCTCAAAACCACACAGAATTTATAATACCAGAAATAGTTGCAAAATTACTATTGACTCCGCTAAAGAAACATACAATCAAAGAATAAAAAACAGGTTGCTGAATTGTCCAAGTAGTTCTAGGTCTTTTTGGTCTCTTGCAAAAGCTGTTGGATCTAACTTCACCAAGTCATCCATACCACCACTTACAGATAAAAATAATCACTTAGCCACAACATCAGAGGAAAAAGCCAATATGCTTGCCCAAATGTTTTCCTCCAACTCCAACCCAACAGTGCCAAACAGAAAAACTCCACCGTTCATTGAAAGGGTTTCCCATAGTATGCCAGAGGTACCCTTTTGTCACAGAGAAATACGAGAATCCCTAAAAAAGCTGGATACAAACAAAGCAATGGGTCCGGATGGCATTCCCGCAATAGTACTCAAAAATTGCGCCAACGAACTCACCCCAACTTTCGCAAAATTATTCAATCTGTCTTACAGGCAAGGAGTATATCCATCATCATGGAAGTCTGCCACAGTACAACCCATTCCAAAGAAAGGAAAAAAGACAGATCCGTTAAACTATAGACCAATTGCTCTACTTCCGGTGATATCAAAAGTAATGGAAAGAGTTGTGAACAATCACCTAACCAAGTACTTGGAAAAGTACAAAATTATCAACGATAAGCAATACGGATTTCGAAAATATAGATCAACTGGCGATTTACTTACATACGTCACTCACTTATGGCAAAAAGCGATTGAGTTGCGGGGTGAAACAAGAACAATTGCCTTAGATATATCTAAAGCATTCGACAAAGTTTGGCATGAAAATCTGCTCAACAAGCTCAAAGCAATGGGATTATCGCCGAAACTTTGCACTTGGTTTGAAAGTTACCTACAGGACAGATCCATTTATGTTGCACTGGATGGCCAGAACTCCAACACTTACCAAATAAATGCTGGTGTGCCACAGGGAGCAATCCTTTCGCCAACTCTTTTCCTGATTTACATAAATGACCTCATAGATAAAACAGTAAATCCACTTTATTGCTTTGCAGACGATGGCACCCACAGGTCTTTCCGCACGTGAATTCCATCATCTTAGACTAACTCAAATATCGCAGATAAATAACGACCTGGAGATAATAGAGGACTGGGGTAACAAAAACCTTGTACAGTTCAACGCGCAGAAAACCCAAGCAGCTCTGTTTTCAAAAAAGACCAGCACCGGTGAGCCAAACATCATGCTATCTGGAAGTGCTGTCACATTACAGAGTCAGTTGAACATCTTGGGGGTTACTGCAGAGACCAACATGTCTTGGCACAGTCACGTGGCAGATATTGCTAAAAGGGCCTCCCAAAAGCTGGGGGTGCTATTTCGTACAAGACATCTGTACACACCAAGCCAATTGCTGACACTCTACAAAGCCCAGATTCGACCAACTATGGAGTACTGCTCACATATATGGAGTGCAGCACCCAAACATACCTTAATGCTTTTGAATACCGTGCAAAAACGAGGTATCAAGCTGATGAATGACCCCGCACTTACTCGTAACTTGGATGGTCTCGAAAATCGCAGATCTGTGGGCGATTTATCTCTCTTCTACAGGAACTATCACGGAAAATGCTCTGAAGAGTTGGCACGTATGATTCCACCGAGAGTAGCACCTACCAGGCGAACCCGTCAAACAGACGGTAACCATGAATTTACTGTCAAACTAGAGGCACCAAGAACCTCATTATATCAGAATTCATATCTCTGGAGAACAGCATCGCTGTGGAATAAACTCCCTGCGACGGTTTTCCCTGCAGGTTACAACCTGAACCGTTTCAAGACCAACATACCCCGACATTTCCGCACACTTGCCGCTTCTCGAGCGTGATAGGACATTTCCTTGCGAGTGCGCATATCAGTAAAAAAAAAAAAAAAAAAAAAGCATTCAGAGCCTCTGCTGAGATTTTTAAAACAAAAAAAGAATAATTAGATGTATGCTACATCCTCATCCCTGAGCTTCTTGAAGGCCTTTCTTTGAAGGCTTGAATATACGTGAAGGCTCCCACAGACAATCAGGTTTTTTGCACAGGCTGACTGTGCAGGGACAGGCCAATTTGCGCAAATTAATCTGTACCTGTGCCCCTCGCACACACGTATAGTTTTAGCTCAGTTCTTTCCACACAGGACCATAAACGCAGTTCAAGGATATTTTTGTTCTAAGGTGAAGATGGTTTGTGCAGGCCAAATTTCGAATTTACTCAGGCCAGGCCACTGGCCTGCACTGTCGACCGGAAGGGTGCCCGCGCAAACCAGGTTTGCACAGTCGGCATGTGCAAAAAGACTGAGCGTCTGTGGGGCCTTAAATGGAACGCTGTATCAAACCACCTTTAACTATTGAAAGTTCTATATACTTTTCTTTTATTTCCTCAATATCCCCTACCTTGATTTAAGTTGTGTATTTGCGCGTTGACTGCTGAATTTATCGAGGAATTTATGACACTTGTATTTCTTGTGATTTTTATATAAATTTTATTATTATTTCCTCTAAAGTCAACAGATACATCGATTTATTTATAGAAAAAAGTAAAACGCATGGCCACTTAATAGGTAATTATTCGCAGTTCCATATTTCAAATTTAGGATATAAGGATATAAGGATAATTTTAGATTTGAAACGGTGTTATTAGAAAATGTTAAAATGATTAAACTGCATCTCTTAATTAATAGGCAAAAAATACAAATAAATACATTATACAGGCCTTATGCCATAAAACCTCAAGATTTGGTTCAAAGCGTACAAAACTAGGTAACTAGTTCCCCTTGGCAAAATTACAAAACAGCATTTTTTGTTGGAGACACAAATATTAATATTTAATCAGAAAACGTAGATTATGTTAATGAATACCTAAATTTGCTTAGTGAACATGGATTTAAATCAATAAATGGATACACTAGAGAAAGAAATGGGTCAAAGTCCTGCATAGACATATTTCTATGAGAGGTGAATTAAATCAGGAGTTGATGTCATTTATAATAAAAAGGAATATTACTGATCATTACCCAGTAGTAGCTGTCTTAAAAATCGATGAATCTCTGTTAGATAATAATAAAAATGTCGAATATAAAAAAATAAATACAAAAAAACTTGTACATATTATACAAAATGAAACTTGGACGGATTATTACGAAACTGAGAATCTGGACATTAAAATGGATCTATTTATGAATAAGTTGAAAGCAGCAGTAGATTCGGCTACAGACACAATTAAATACAGAAAAAATATATTATATAAAATATCACAGTTAGACCACCAAAATATTCAAAAACAAATAGCTTACAAACAGTATAAAAAAATATTTGAAAGATTACTAGACAAAACTAAAAAAGACTATTTTCAAAGAGAAATAAATAAAGAAGGCAATAACAGCAAAAATCTTTGGCAAAGTGTTAACAAATATTTGGGAAAAGAACAACAAAACACAGAAATAAAACAAATCAAATCAAACGAGCGCACAATTACGAACAAAAAAGAAATAGCAAACAAGTTCAATAAATACTTCACAAGTTTGGGAAAAAATCTAGCGAACAAAATTAAAAGAACAGGAAAAACTAAATTTAATGGAAAAATACAAGAGAACACATTTTTTTTGGAACCAACAGATGAACTTGAAGTTGAAGGAATAATAAATCATTTGAAAAAGAAAAAATCTCCAGAATATGATACAATTACTACAGAAACTCTTCAAATTTTAGCTCCAACATAAAAACACCTCTTACACATATAATAAATAAAATATTTGAACAGGGATACTATCCAAGTAGGCTGAAAATTGGAATTATCAAACCTCTCTATAAATCTGGGGGAAAGTTACAGATAGAAAACTATAGACCAATAACCCTAATTTCTATGCTTTCAAAAATTGTGGAAAAAATAATGAAAAAAGGTTTGTTTCTTATCTTACTAAATATAAATTAATATCAGACAAACAGTTTGGGTTTCAGCAGGGGTTATCCACAGAAGATGCCATAGCATACGTAATGGATAATGTTTACAAAAAACTTGATAATGATGAATGTGTTATGGTATTTTTTTAGACCTTGCAAAGGCATTCGACACTGTGGATCACCCCATGCTGATAACTGTCTTAAAAAATCTAGGATTTCGTGGAATTACAGAAAAACTGATAATATCATATCTAAGTGAAAGAAGGCAATATGTCCAGATCGGTAAAACATTTAGTGAACCAACAACTGTGGAGTACGGTGTTCCTCAAGGAAGCGTACTAGGCCCAATCTTATTTACAATGTATATAAATGGCTTGTTAAACATAAATACATTTGGGCTGATCGCATCGTTTGCTGATGAAACAGTTATTATATACAGTGGAAAAAACATGGAAAGAAACGAAACTACAAGCAGAAAAGGATTTAGCAAAGATAAAGGATTGGTTTGATGAGATGTCTCTGACAATTAACTTTAAGAAAACAAAATACATACCTTCCAGTTGTAGTAAGGCAAAAGCTCCAAATTTCACAGAAATTAACGTAACACAAGTAAATAATTCAAAAGTAACTATAAAAGGGACAGGTAATATAAAATATTTGGGAATCGTAACGGATAGATATTTGAAATGGGACATACATATCAACAACCTAATAAATAAACTACGTGTTATACTTTTTAAATTTAAACAACTGAAAAAAATTCTTTGCTTTTCACAACTTAGGATTATGTATTGTGCACTCGTTCAATCCTTAATTCAGTATGGGATAGTTGGGTGGGGTGGAGCGTATAAAATAAATATTGAAAAGTTAGAAAAAATTCAAAAGGTTTTCTTAAGAATAATGATCAATAAAAATCGCCTTTATTCAAGTAACAAAACATATGAAGAGAGTAAGTTAATGGACATTAATAAATTATATACCTTCAAATTGTTAATATATCAATTCAGATATAGGCACAAACTAAATATGATTGATCACCCACATAATACCCGACAAAAGTTGAAACTGAGGGTGCAACTATTAAAACCAAAAAGACAATTGCCCAAAGAACAATTTCCTTTCTCGGGCCTTACATCTACAGATTTTTGCCAGATTTTCTTAAGGATGTCACTATATTGAAATTGTTTAAAAGTATTTTGAAGAAATGGATTCTTGAAACTCCCCGTACCTTTTTTAATGAACTAATAAATGGAAAACTCAAATAACATTACTTGCATTTCGAGTTGCATATTCAATCTTTAGGTTCTTTTAAAATAAGCAGATTCTCTTCATGAATCTTGTTTTTTGAAGTGCAGAGTGACAATGGATTTATACAACATAGTGCTACTGAGGTATTTTTTTGTTATATTATTATTTATATACTTATAATTATTGTTGTAAATTTATGGAAATGGGTATGCTAAGGGTCAAATTTAGATTGTTTTGTGTTTTCTAGTACTTCCTATGACTACTCACTATTTTGTTTCAACATTTAAACGCGGTCTGCATAACTGAATGGAATAACAAGAAAAGTCTGCGCACAAGTCCATCAGGACTTCAGCAGAAATGTTCTTATTTATTTTCCTTCTGGTTTCTAATTACATAGTATAGCTCGAAGTATTATTATTGTTATATTATTTTTTATTTGAATTTTGGTGGGTACAAGTTTTATGTATGTATCTGTGTAATAGGTAAAAGATCAAGGGGAAGGAACTCTGCGTACAAGTCCTAGATTAGAACTTCAGCAGAACACTTCTTTCTTTTTTTGTGAGGCATAGCCTAGAAAGCCTAGAAGTTTTAAGTAGCGGTACTTACTTATTTTATTTTATTTTATTATACTTATTAAATTGTGCTTACTCATTATGTACTTATTATGTAATTATTTTTGTAAGGGGAAATTAATGGAAATAAAAAAAAAAAAGGAGATAAATGAAAATAAATACCTCGATCTCGACCTCGATAAATACATACATAAAAAAAAAAACTTACTGTGCCTGGATTGTATTGTCACACTGGTCACTTTTTTTCTCAACCAATCAAGATGGCTATGCCAATAACCAACAACAGAGGTAGGGATGAATTCCGCATCCCCACACATCGCTCCACATTTTTTGAAAAAGGACTTATTATGGGGGTACTTGTTGGGGTATTAAAGCCCAGAGACTCTTGCCTGTTGACATCAGGAATATGGAGGAAATTGGGGAATTCTTATTTATAGTTTGTAAGGGATAAAATGTTCTCATTATTTTGATTTTTAGATTGTTGTATCTTTGATTTTTACCAATTTCTGTTCATTATAGTTAAGCTTTTAGTGGTTTTTATCTAATATGTAAAATCGAGTATAAAATTTAGTTTTTTCTACTTTTTAAATTTTAACTTGTGATGTTAGTAGGTATAATTGATGTCCTATTTTTGTATGTGTTTGTATGCTTCTGCACTCAAGACAGAAATTTTGTGAGCTGCTTTTTTCATGTACCTACCTATTTGATTTAGTTGGCCAGAAGAAAATAAATAAATAAATAAGGCAGTGACTACTGCACTGTCCAGACAGTGTCGACTGAAAACTATCTGCACTGACCAGACAGTGCCGACTAAAATCTATCAGCCCTGTCTAGACAGTGCCGACTGAAATCTATCTGCACTGTCCAGACAGTGCCAACTAAAAACCATCTGCACTGTCCAGTTAATTTCATTATCATATTATCATATAAAGTTATAGTTATATTCAGAATGGCTTGCAGTCCTTGCTGGGATTTAGTTTATTATTATTTACTTCTGTAATAAGTCCAGAAAATGAATGTTTTTTCAATAGTACCTAAGAGTGTCAATTTTCACAGGTCAGGTCCAGGCCAAAAATTCATTCGAGGGTGGCCATAAACACAAATGTCGCATACAAAATACAAACAACATTTTGCTTACAAGCGTGCGCAAAGTAGTAGGTACTTTTCACAGAGTGCGGAAGTGGAACTTCGAAAAGTACTACTTTGGGCATGCTCGTAGGAAAAATGTTGGTTGTATTTTGTGTTTATGGGTAACTTCGAATGAACTTTTGGCCTCGACCCGACCTGTGAAAATAAGGCTTTCAGGTACCATTGAAAAAACACTCATTTTATGAACTTATAACAAAAATAATTATTAATACACTGAATCCCAGCAAGGAATGCAAGCCATTTTGAATATAACTGAAACTCGAGCTGCAACTTTATATGATATGATAATCAAATTGTCTGGACAATGCAGATGGTTTTTAGCCAGCACTGTCTGGACAGACTTTAAAAATTAATTGAGTATGCTATTTAAATCACTTACCTTGAATAGTATTATTTTCTGGAATTGGATTTTCTATAGCATGTGAAGAAAAATAGTTTCCGAAACAAAATTGAGATGGAAAGGTTTGACGACATTGCACATTATCAGTTTTACTCGGGACAGATAATGACACGTTTTTTGTATAATTTTTAAGAAATAACGATAGATTTTTCCTAAGAATAAACATTTTCAAATTCCTTTTGTGTTGGTTGCCTCCAGATATTTGTTTACAATTTACAATAAAAAAAAAAGAGAGGTTAAGTCGTTAGTAGCGATCTTCTTGCATTGAGAGTGGCTCCGAGTAACTCCGAGTGACTCGCATTTTTTAAACTGCGCCTTGTTTTTAGTAGATTTCAGTCAAATCTATTTCTACTATTAAAAAACTCTCGGAGCTTCCTCCTTAAGAAGTTTCTCAACAGCGAGTCACCTCCGGGTTGGTTTTAACTCCAGGGTAAGTGTGTCCAGTTGCAATGTTCACCCTGGAGTTATGCTTAACTCTGACTGGCTATTGAGAAACCGGCCCTTAGTTGTATTCCTTGTAGATTGTAGAACACTTTGGGCCGATAAGTGTGCTCTCGATTAACGAATTTGGTATGTCATCAAAGTTTTGCATGGGCCAAATAAGTCTATAAGTATGATGTGGTTAGAGCACATTCAAACCCCCTGATTATTTTTAACGGCTGTCAAATGAGAGCAAAAGTACCGGCACTAGAACTACTCGCTCCGGTGCTAGTCGACCCCGATTTAAAAGTTACAAATCACTTGCCTGTCAACATTAGTTGTATTCCTTTCACACCTAGGAGGAGCTCCGGAACAGCTCCGGGGCCTCACGCGTTTATTCCTTTCGAAAAGTGTTTGTTGCACCACGCATCTGTTCCCTGCAAATCGGGGGCTACTAAACACCGGAGCGAGTAGCTCGAGTGTTTCAAATTCTTGAAAAGAATACAACTATTTGGAAGCAAAAGTTTTTTTCACGTGGCTCCGGTTTAACTAACCGGGTTACAAAACGGTTAGAGAAATGACATACCGTTTTCTAACCCGGTTACAAAGTGACGTGATGGATACCAACCACTCGAATTTGAGCGGTATGTTGCGGTTGGTTAAACCGGAGCCACGTGAAAAGGGTTAAAGTGATCTACTATCAAATGGAAAAGGGGTGGTGACAGCATCAGTCGTATTCCTTTCAAGAGTTTAAAACACTCGAGCTACTCGCTCCGGTGTTAAGCCTAGTACTCATAACCGCGAAATTCGCTTTTTTTTGAAATTGGGTACATTCAGGAGGTCCCAGCGGCTAAGCTCAGCCACTCAGCAGGGACTCTATTCTCGAAACCAAGGAACAGCGTTCTCATAAGAACGATTGCTTTGTCATTGTCAGTATTATGCCGGATGACAAAGACAGAACCTTCGTTCCAATCAGAACGCTGCTCCCCTGTTACGAGAATAAAGTTCCCGCTGAGTGGCTGAACTAAGCCGCTGGCACCGCCTGAATGTACCCATTGCTTCGACAATTTGACGTTTGATTCACGTATAAAACGTCAAATTGTCGAAGCAATCAAAAAAGAGCGAATTTCGCTGTTATGAGTACAACAAACACTTTTCGAAAGGAGTAAGCGCGTAACGCCCCGGAGCTGTTCCGGAGCTCCTCTTAGTGTGAAAGGAATACAACTATTGGTGACAGTGACCAGAAATTTGAAATATTGTTCATAAAACGGCACACAACAAAACAAAGCAAAATTAAAAAACATGACCGCAAAATACAAAAGAAAAAGAAGAGAGAGCCCGTTTCGCGTTGAGTCCGCGCTGCACTTTTGTATTTCATTAGTTGTATTCCTTTCATGAGCTTGAAACACTCGAGCTACTCGCTTCGGTGCTTAGTCGCCCCTGATTTGCAGGGAACATATGCGTGGTGCAACAAACACGTTTCGAAAGGAATAAAGCGCGTGAAGCCCCGGAGCTGTTCCGGAGCTCCTCCTAGGTGTGAAAGGAATACAACTATTGGGAAGCAATGCACTGATTTTTGCACCGAGCACCGAGTGCTGCTGGTGCGCCACCGGCTAAAAAGCTCCGTGCCGCACTCAGTTATCAGTTGCTGCTTGCTTGCTTGTTTATTCATAGCGCTGCTACTAGGCAATTTGCCAGCACAATAGGGTACTTGCATGGAAAATTAAATTGATTATTGTTTATTGCAAACTGTGGGAAATCGAAAAAAAATCGTTACTTTTTTTTAATTCCGCCCAAATATGATTATATCGAAAGTTATACAAATATTAAGTTTTTTATATATAGATATACTGAGCATATGCGACGTCACAACTCACAACGTATTATACCTAAGTTATGACGTCGGAAGGACATTTCAAAGCGTTGTATCTCCGTCAATTTTTGACTAACAAGAAAATGAAAAAACACGTGTTGACTTATTTTTCATGGACTATCGAAATCAGCAATAAAAAAATTTGATGCAAGGGGCCTATTTCGTGGCGACCCTGATGTTGTCTGGCTCTAGGCCATATCTAAGGTTCCCTAGTGGTTTCAATTTTTTGCTTATTTTTGTGAAAGGCACATCCGGGATTTGCTCAGAACAATCGCTGAAGCCTGATATAACCGTTTTCTGTGGAAAGCCAACAGCGTTTTCACGAGTCGATCAGACTCTCACCGCCATTTTGCCAACGTTTCCAGGCGTGAATTTTCTGTTTCTATATAATAGCGTATTTCATTGATAGAGCAAGTGCAACACTAGTTTTGCACTGACACTTTAAAAAAACTGCTCTCGTGCAGTCCCAATGAAACATCATCGTACTGCACCATCCCATATACGACAAACCTCAAATATAGAATTTCATTAAAAAAAATATACTGGTGCTTATTATAAATAATTAATATAATTTAATTTAAAAAAAAGTTCTTGCCTCTCTTCTAGAAGCCCTAAATATTCTTCATATTCACTGGTTTCACTGGTGCTGCTACTTTCCATCAAGGCAAATTGCCTTCAACAAGCGATTTTTGACATTTTGGTAGATTCGCAGACAAATATAAAAAACACAATAAAAATATACTGTTTAGGAATGTTTTTTTATGAAAAATTACAACCACCAATAACCTCAATTTAAAAAATAACAATAAACAACTGCACTGAGTGCGACACGAGCTATTTAGACGGTGGCGCACTAGCAGCACTCGGTGCAAAACTCGGTGCATTGCTCTCCCAATGAAATACAAAAGTGCAGCGCGACTCTGCCAATGGATCACGAATATTGCACCAGTGTTGCACTTGCTCTACCAATGAAATACGCTATGAATCTAATGGGCCCCATACACTACGTTCTTTCTCATCGGTTTTCATCGCCGCGATGAAACACGTCGTTCCAAAACCGAAGTGCGTTGAAAACCGACGAGAAAGAACGTAGTGTATGGGGCCCTTAAGCATCAGGGTTGTTATAGGCTACACAATTGTGTAATTTGCTACACAATTGGACTATCGATTACACAGGTGCACCCCAATGATCAATTTCATCTGTTTGCTACACTTTTTAATAAACTGCACAGAAATGCTACACAATGGATAAATCACCCATTCCGTAACTGAAAATTCGTGAAACGGTCAAACAGTAGTGAATTTAGCCACCGTAAAGTGGCAAAAGATGTTACAAGCGTTGAGTGTCAGAGTCGAGATCTGTGGGCCCAGATTCTGAATCCACGATTTAATAGTAGGTATCGCCCATGAGGTATATTTCAGTAGAAATCACAAACCAGTCAGAGTGAATTTCATTGGTTGAAACTAGTTTTCTGACTGTTTTGAGCCAATGAAATTCGCTCCGACTGGTTTGTGATTTCTGCAGAAACAGACCTCATATAAATATAAGGTCTGTTTCCACAGAAATCACAAACCAGTCAGAGCGCTTTTGATTGGTCCAAATAGCCAACAACCAGTTTCCTGATTTTTTTCACCCAATGAAATTCGCTGTGACTGGTTTGTGATTTCTGTGAATTTTTTTTGACAATTCTAACAGCCAGAGCCGCTTTCCAGTGCCTAAATTGTTAGAGTATCATGCTCCTGAAGTGTGACGCTCTTGAACTGTTCGACATAAGCAGCACTGGAACGCTCTCGTCTTAACCCCTCACCATTTCGGATTTCTGGAGCATGAAACACAGACAAAAGGGTTGGTGCACGAGGGGGCAGGGGATAACAGAAATGAGTAGGCTCAAGTGTACGACACTCTAAGCACTGGAACGCGCAAAGCAATTGTGGAGCACTCCTGAGCTGCTCAGGAGTAACTCAAATGGGTCACTAGAAAGCACCTCTGTTAAATTTCTTGTCATGTGACACAAATCATCCAATCATGTCAAAATTATACTGAAAACAGCCCATGGGTTGTTTTCACTCTATGACATTGTCACGGACATTGCTGACAACAAATTTTCTATCCGAATAACCCTCGAACATTGATAAATGCTCAAACTTGTTGCTTAAAGAAAAATATTATAAAATTTTTTCGGACAATTATCAATGTCCTTGGGCTATTACTATTGAAAACAGACCTATAGATAGACGTTACCATCGAATTGTGGGTTCTGAATTCGGACACTGGTTTTGTAGTTGTGCTCGCGAAACAGAAGATGTCGCGAGCGTCTGCTGTCAGATGCCTATTTGATTGTCAAATTGACAGTGCACAATTGCTTGAATTGCTACACAAAGGCGTATTTTAGCGAGAGTTTTAACCCAGTAGTATGTTGTATTTACTTGGGATACTACATTTTAACGAGCATGGCATGGCTAACATACTATAACGTCACAACATAAAACACAACATAAAACTCGACTGTAAACATCCTAGGAGGGATAAGGCGTATTTTAGCGACAAGTAAACATCATACTACACATACTACGATTCATGACGTCATAGTTACCCAAATAACAGGTGGAGTGTATTTGACAAAGGGTCTAAGAGAGGACGCCATGATCGTTGTTTATTTGGATTTGTTGAATTTTGTAAAATTTAGCGTTTTCGAGTTTCAATATTTTCTCCAGTGATGATTTTCGATAGATTGTGGTATTTTTGAATTTTATGGGTACCCTATGCCAAAAAAAAAATAAAATTACACTTTTGTGCACAAGTAAAGGTTTTTAATTTTTTTTGCAAAAAAACTTTAAAATAAAATCACAGAAAACCATGGCAAAATGTGGAAAAACAATCCTCTATTTATAATGGAAAGAACTGTGTTGGTAATCGTAGCGTAATCAGCTGATGTTTTGCCCATATGCTCATTTTTGTGTATTAGAAAAAGATGCACTGACATACTACAACCAGTAACTATCCCTCCTAGGATGTTTACATGTTTACAGCCGAGTTTTATGTTGTGTTTTATGTTGTGACGTCATAGTATGTTAGCCATGCTCGCTAAAATGTAGTATCCCAAGTAAATATAACATACTACTGGGTTAAAACTCTCGCTAAAATACGCCTAATGATCGACATAAGTTGTATTTCTTTCAAGAGTTTGAAACACCCGAGCTACTCGCTCCGGTGCTTCGAAGCCCCCGATTTGCAGGGAACAGATGCGTGTTGCAACAAACACTTTTTCGAAAGGAAAAAGCGCGTGAAGCCCCGGAGCTCCTCCTAGGTGTGAAAGGAATACAAATAATAGGTCTGTTTGTTAATAATTGTATTCCTTTCACACCTAGGAGGAGCTCCGGAACAGCTCCGGGGCTTCACGCGCTTATTCCTTTCGAAAAGTGTTTGTTGCACCACGCATAAGTTCCCTGCAAATCGGGGGCGACTAAGCACCGAAGCGAGTAGCTCGAGTGTTTCAAGCTCTTGAAAGGAATACAACTATTTACGTGTAGGATAGGTCAGTGCAGACTGCTGGTGCAGCTACGTGTAGCTGGTGGGCACCAGGTTAAAGAAAAACTACCAAACGCGTTAGTGCAATTCGTGCAGCGATAGGAGCGGATAATTCTCTAACCTCAAAAAATGATTATTCAAGTAGATTGAAGTGGAAACATACCGCTCAAATTCGAGTGGTAGGTATCCATCACGTCACGTTGTAACCGGGTTAGAAAACGGTATGTCATTTCTCTAACCATTTTGTAACCCGGTTAGTTAAACCGCAGCCACGTGAAAAGAGCTGTTGAGAATCCCACTTCAGAGCTGCTTTCCAGTTCCTATTGTTAGAGTAACATGCTCCTGGAGTGTGACGCTGTTGAACTGTTCGATATAAGCAGCACCGGGGTGCGTTCAAGGACGGCAATGCTAATGCCAAAACCTACTTTTCCCCCTCCACGGGTAATGCTGAACCACGTAGTTTGGAGCCGAACTCGAACGCAAAATGCCAATTTTGGCTGGGCTGTAGCCATTCCTGAACGCAGCCCTGGAACGCTCTCGTCCTAACCCCCACCATTTCGGTCTTCAGGAGCATGGAACATCGAAATAAAGGTTGGTTTACGAGGGGGCAGGGGATAACAGAAATGAGTAGTTCAAGTGTGCGACACTCTAAGCAAGCACTGGAATGCGCAAAGTAATTGTGGAGCACTCCTGAGCTGCTCAGGAGTAACTCAAATGGGTCACTGGAAAGCACCTGATGACGTAAAAAATGACATAACATATAACATAACCTCAACCTCAAAACAAATTAAAACAAAAACAGCTTCTTCCTCTCCTTGAAGCAAAATATATTTTTATCATTCATCTATGCATGCCTTGAAAAAAACCTTGGTTCAGTCAGTTTGGGTTCCAGTTTCGGTGGTTCCGCGTCGGTATTCCAATGATTGGTCGATAACATATTATTTTTTCAATACTCACATAAATTCGAGCATTCCACAATAATTATTCCAATACCCAGCAGTTGTTTTGTTATCAGTCCTGGGCCGGTTATTAAATTAATAATAAAACTACATCTCTAATGGTATGTACGTGATAAGAAATTGGCATTAATTAATTGTGCCCGAAACTGTTACTGTACCTACACCTACACCACAACCTGTTTTGTTTATATTTACTCCCAGATAAAAATTATCAATGCCTGCTACTTTGGTACTACTGTTTTCCCAGTAATTAAGCTTAAATAGTAGCTCTTTATTTTAGCATTAATTGCTAACATCAAGATTAGATAAAACATTTAAAAAACCGCCAAGTAGGTATAAGTCTGGGTACTTACATTTTTATCTTGGCATGACCTAGATTTCATAAGATTGACTAGTTCATCATTAAAGAAATACAAAGTCTAAAGAATAAATATTTGCAAAAAGCAGATTGCTAATTTTTATTAGGTAATTTTCAATACCTACTACTATAGTTTCAAATTTCAAAATTCAATGGAACCTCAAAAATTTAATGACTATCGAACGGTAAGTAACTTTTGACCCTGAAGAAATTTGCTTCTATGTAAATAACAATTTATACTATTAAAATTCCATTGGGTATTTAATTATTGATTTTCGAGTATTTTTGGTTTATACTTGGGTTTATATGATCTGGAAAAATTGAACCTTAATTTATTGTATGCCACATGTAATTAACGATTGGTTGTGGTTTATTTTAGATCTTGTGTGCCAATGCAAGTCTGGAGTACCACAATTAGGGAAAGTGACTTGGGAAAAAACGATAAAGCTACCGAAAATACTTCATACATTCGAAGACATAACAAGGTTAGTAAAAATACATTGGTAACAGTGTCTGTAGGACTGTAACAAGTATACTTTCCTATATATTTTGTAAAAATATTAAGGGTAAATAGGTAGGTAAAAAAAAATCTATCTATTTAGGTAGGTAGGTTGGTACCTACCTACAAATTGTTAAGTAGCAAAAAATACTTGCAGGCCTGTAAATTTCCGTAAGTCATTATTACGTTTGCCCGTGTCTTTTTTTAAATAAGAGTTTCTTTCGGAGTTACTGTAATAAACTGGTTTTTTCTGTAGTTGAAAATTATAATAGTACTTTCATTAGGCCCGCATCCACATCAAAGGTTTTTCCGACTATTTTAGGACCAAATTTATAATAAGTCCTCAAGGCTTCCTTGAGATTAGAATGGACATCTGTTACCATTTAGCAAGGCTTTCTCAAGTTCTGAGGAAATCTCAAAGAGCGACTTGTCAAAACTGAGAAAATCAAAAATGCATTTTTTTAGTGGATATTAGAGAAGATATTTTGGATTATTTTATTGTAATTCGTCACAAAAGTGTCACTGTTTTTGAACTTTATCTAGAGTCTAGAGTGGTCTCTACTTGGGTCTCTAACAATACTTCAAGTGGTATAATTTTCCCCTGAAACATTACTTATTAGTACCTACCCTAATTGTGCTTGTACTTTCTTATCATTAGAATATAATTTGTCGTTCTCCCTCCCAGTTTGTAATTATTATTGTTTTTGTTTTTCGCCTGTGCAGAACTTTCTTGTAGTGTGCATGTACCCAGGTATTTTCCTTCTACAATCTAATAACAATTTTGTCTTGTATGGCAAAAATAGGGGTAGGCAATCATGGGTAAACATCAACAAATTCGTGCAAATAATAACAGACATGTAAGTATTTTTGTTTTCTATTTAAATACTAGGAGCTGGGCAAAGATGATAGCAAATAATTGTAATTACCAGAATTTTTAAGTTCACAGCTTCAAATCAAAACATGCTTTGTTGTCCAAAATACATGGTATTCATTGACAAAGATCTATATGTGGAGATCAGGATACCTGCCCTGGAAAACCGCGATACTTATTATCTCCTGTTTTTTTGATGTCATACAGCTGTATTGTACAGCCAGGCATCTTCCCTTGAGATAATATTTAAAGACTGTAAGTCTCTCCGTTCTCAATACCACATTTGTAAGCTTTCAGCTTCTGCAAAACGATTCTGTGCACATTTTGTCAAAATTATGCATGAAATCGGGAATCGCGAAAGTGTTGGAAACTCTATAGCCTGATTGATTGTCCTAAAGAATTTAGTAATTTTTTAGCTCGTTTTTTTGTCTAAATTCTTTTTTTTTTAATAATTTTTTGTAAGTAAATATTTTCTATGGGCAACCCGAGAGGTCAACCACCTGTGGCAATAGGTGTACACATTTCGGTAATAATTACGCATTAACTGGTAATAAGACGTAATAACTTGTAATAGATGGTAATAAAACGTAATAACTGGTAATAAAACTAACTAAAACGTAACTCTTCATAAGAAGGAGGTTGCTCAGCTTGCTGTTCGCTCTAGATCCAAACTCAAGGGTAAAAACATCTATGTCAGCCCCGATTTACCCAAATCTCAGGCCAGAGCAGATGCAACGGTTAGGGCCGAACTTAGACAAAGATTATCCAACAGGGAAAGTGAGTTAAAAATCAAATACTTCCATGGTGTTCCTAAAATTATGCAAAAAAACTAAATCAATCCAAGTCTACTAGAGGTTTATCTGTGTATTACCAGAACACCCAAGGCTTAAAAACCAAACTAAATTTAATTCAACAAAATATCTCAGCCTGTCATCACGACATATTTGTATCAACGGAAACAGGGCTGCATAAACTGCAGAACTCAATTTCACTGACTTTAAAATTTATCGCTAGGACCAGTTGGCAAATCCAGTATCTTTTCAAGAGGTGGAGGAGTCTTATTAGCAATTCATAAATCTTTAACTAGCAAACGTCTTGATGTTGCAGATGACATTGAACAAGTTTTTGTGGCTATTGGATCTAGTAATTCTAATTTTATGCTAGGGGCAATCTATGTCCCTCTCAACTCATCAGCTAAAGTATATGCTACATTTTCTGAAACCTTGGACTCACTTGCACTTCAGTTACCTGGCTCCACCCTACATGTTTTTGGTGATTTACCGCTCGCCTCATGGCGGAGGGACAACTACAGTTCCTCGGTGACTGCTACGGTGCCCTCGGATATTGCACGTGTTGAGATTATGTCAAACGTATGTAACTTTCATAACTTCTTCCAAATCAATAAATATTTGTCATCTCGCAGCAGACTCCTAGACCTGATTCTTACACAAGACTCTTCAATCGAAATTAAATCGACTGTGTTTTTTGGTTCCTCCAGTTGTTCACCCACCTTAGTAGTAAATATGCTTTATTGTCCAAGAATACAAAAATCTTATTGACAAAGCTTAAAGTGTTATTTTGAGAGCTAACTGTTCCGACACTACTGAGAACTGTCTTGAAATGGACGGTTTTTATGGAGATTTATTCTACTAATTTTCAGGATACTTTTATGTTCCTAAATCAATTTAATTGGGATTTTTTACTTTGTGATCGAACTCTTGATACGATGTTAAATATTTTTTATGAAATTATCTATATTGCAATTGATAAATTTGTACCTTTGAAAAAGTTCTCTGCTAGAAAGTTCCCGATATGGTTTTCAATCGACTTGAAAAACTATGTGATTCTAAAGAAAAAAGCTCATAGCAAATACAAGTCATCTCGCTCTGATGTGGATTATCGTGAATTTTCTACGTTGAGACAGCTGTGCAAGAGCTCGACACAGGAATGCTATGAAAATTATATTCACAGGACCAAAATGGCTATTAACTCCAACATAAAAAAAATCTGGTCTTTTGCGAATAATAAAAGGAAGAGCAATGCTTTTCCTAGCGAACCTAAATATAATTACAGGTCAAGTTGTTCGGGTGGGAAGATTGCTGACATGTTTGCAGATTATTTTTCCTCAGTCTATTCGAATAACCACCATAATATCCCTACACATGATTTGCCTTCATCTATAGTCCATATACCGAATCATCATTACCTATATCCGACATGTGTATACACTAAACTATCCATGCTAGATGTTAACAAGGGCCCTGGTCTGGATGAGGTATCACCCATATTTCTAAAAAAACTCAGTTTCAATCTATCCAGGCCCCTTTACTACATTTTCAACTTGTCATTACGTAGAGATGTTTTTACGGAGAGTTTCCTCAAGCCCATCTTTAAATTTGGAGATAAATCTGTGGTAACCAATGACCGACCCATTAGTATGATCAGCACAATCCCTAAAGCGAGCCCTAAAGTATTTGAGATGCTAGTATGTGACTTTTTGGCGCCCCTCATAGAGCCTATTTTAATCAGGGAACTATTTGGCTTCAGACCTGTCAAATCTACGAAATTAAATGTTTTGACCGAGGTTTTGACACAAACCGACTATCTGTTTGATGCCTTGGAGAAGGGATTTCAAGTAGATACGATTTACACTGAGTTTTTCAAGGCATTTGACAGAGTCTCCCATTCCATGTTATTGCATAAGCTCTGTTAATTGGAATCGATGAACCCTTGATCTCATGGTTTCACAGTTACTTGTCCGGCCAGAAGCAGATTGTTAAAATTGATAATTTCCTCTCCAAAATTATTCAGGTTACCTTCGGTGTGCCACAGGGGTCCCATCTTGGGCCACTCCTTTTTAATGTCTTTATAAATGATATTCACGAATGCTGTACCACATGTTTTTTCTTGTTGTTTGCCGATGACCTCAAAATGGGCTGCATAATTCAATCTTATGATGACTGTGACAAACCACAGTACGATCTCAACAACCCCGAAGACTGGTGCAATAGAAATTTCATGGATTTCATTCCTTCTAAATGCAAAGCCATTACTTTTTCGCTGGGTAAAACCCCTATTGAATTTAATTATAAAATTGGTAACACACCCTTGAGGAGTTTCCATTATCAAAGACCTTGATGTTTCACTGGACACAATTCTCCTTTTTTCCAATCACTTAAATAATGTTGTTAATAAAAGCTTTCCAAATGTTGGGGTTTATCAAAAGGACAACCCAAGATTTCACCACTATTACTTATTTAAAAACTATATATTGTGCCGTATTGTGCCCTGGTCCGCCCTCATATAGAGTATGCCTCTTGCGCCTGGTCTCCTTTTTATGGTGTATACTTTTCAACTGGTTGAACACAAATTTTTGAAAGAAATAGCCTATAAACTAAACATATTGGATAATTATAACGACACCCTGCTACTCTCTATGTTAAATATGGCCCCAATAACTATGCGTCACATGAAAAGAGACCTTACAACCTTCCATAATATTTTGCATGGGAAAGCTTCGACTCCTGAAACTTTCCATAAAATCAGCATTCATTTCCCTCCTAGAACTACCAGATCAACTGGCAGTTTTCATGTCCCGATTCATCGTACTTATTATGGACTCAATACCTTTATCTCTCGAACAGCTAGACTCGCAAACAAACACCACAAGATTGACCTTTTTGCTCCTTTCAACATTTTCCTTAGTCAAGTTCGTCAAACTTTTAAGTAGTTATTTCCAAATTTGGATTTTCAATCGAAGCTAATTGTACTTGTATAACTAATGTTAATTATTGGATGTTATTTTCACCTATTTTCACTATTCCTATGTATCCTACCGAAACTTCACTCATGTTTTCACATGTAACCGTATTTGTTATTAGGTACTTATTGTTATTTGATTCTTAAGTGGTAAATCTTTATTTTATTATTTTATTTATTTATTTATTTATTCATTTATACTCCTACAAACACATGTAAATGTACTTAAATGTAAGAGTGCTTACTGGATAAACTAGACTTAATCTAAACTAATAATTAAGACTATGTATAAAATAAGAGGCAAAATATAAAAATATAAAAAACAAACGAGGAACAGAAACAATAAACCAAAAATA